GAGAATTCTGTGTTTACAGTTAGCATACGAGACCGGCTACACAAAAAGGGTATTATGTCGCAAAAAGGTGAAATTGAGTTATGTCTGGAAAGCCCACAATGTAAGCTTTCAGTTGGTATATAATAGAGCTCCATAGCCCCTCCCGTTCTGGAGATATGATGTATTTGCATGTTAATTACTTCCTTGGAGTTCAAATTACACAACTGAGAAAACAGGCTTTGAAATAGCTGGCTCTGTTGTTGAACAACAGAATGATGCACACAAAATGGTTGTTTTTTCCAATATATACACTAGAATCAACTGTTCTGTGAATGAAACCTGAAACTGTAGGTATTAAAGATGTCATTCATGACCAAAAATGAAAATCTTATTTTGACAAAATTTTCACCTTCTCAATGTTGAGCGGGTCATGACACAATAATGCTCAGCGTGACTTAATACCCTTTTTTTGTGGAGCCGGTCACATATTTCATGGGTTAACAAGGAATTTTGACTATGCACATTCGTACATCGTATATACATGTAAATTGTAAATTCCGGGGGTAAAACTGTAAGCACAGAGTTCTTAAAAGGACTCTGTGCTTACAGTGTTACCCCGGAAATTTTTGCTAACGCTGTTTTCAACGCAGAATTCTGTGGTTAGCATAGCCATGAATCTGGGCGCAAATCTTTTCACATTTTCTTTAACACAGGACTCACACAACTCTAAGAAAAATGAAATCTCATTGAATTTTGTTCGTAACAGTGTTGCACACTGTCATGTAAACAGGTAAATCACACATCTTGGGCATGTCGGGGGCAGGAATGCTCCAACTGTACTTCCAAGAGATTAGTCGGGGATGGAGCACAAGTGTAGTGAGTACAGGGCCCAATTTCATAACGCTGCTTAACAGCCGACTTTGTGCTTACCGAGCCTCCATCTATTTCATAGGGACCGTTAAGCAGTAAGCACAGCAAAAGCACACTTAACCCCAGAAGAAAACTTTGCTTAAATCAGTGATGTAACAATAGAAATCTCCATGCGCACAACTGCAAGCACAATCACGGCATGAAATAGTGCTTAAGCAGCAGCATGATTTTCTGCTATAGTAAGCACAACTTTTCTGCTTACTGTTAAGCAGTGCTATGAAATTGGGCCCTGAACATGCCAAATGAGACTTATCTGCTTATGGTGCTGTGGACATGGGTACCAATGAAAAGTACTCCTGAAACCTCGCAAAAGTCCTACTTTTATCCTGATTTTGTCCTCCAAGGTCCAACTTTTGGTCCCCCCCCCCTTTTTTTTTTTACTTTTAGCTTAAATAGTGTTCTACTTTTTCACCTGGGTCTGCTTGAAAACCTGTTGGTAATCTATTTTTGGTTAGCCAATGTTCTAATGTGCTTAGCAGATTCATGAATCAAATTTGGTTTTGCCCTTCACCAACGTTTAAACACTGAATACTCAGTGAGCTACCTCCCGAGTGAAAGTTGGAAAAAATCACTCGGGTGGGACTCGAACCCACGACCTCCTGCTTCCTAGTGCAGATTTTTTTTACAACTTTCACTCGGGAGGTATCACACTGAGTATACAGTGTTTAAACGGCACGCGAAAATTCCATCTGAGAACAGATTCATGAAATAGCCCCCTGACCCCACCAACCACACAAACCAGCATCTCTAATGGACACTTATCACAGTTTTACTTGGAAAACAAATTGCACTTCTTAAGATAATTACAGCTGTAAAATAATACTTGCTGATAAAGTTTTAACTAAAAGACTACATTTCTAATTATTTTTTTAATTATAAATTCAACGTTTGAAGCTCTCACATTATTCAAACTGATTGCATTTATGTGCCATACTGCTTTGTCTTGATAGAGTTCTAGAAACAAAATTTGGAGGTTTTTTTGCCAACAGTTAAACTACACTTTTCATTACATTAATTTTCTCCGTTCTTGAGTGCTTACGTACATACTTACGTACCGTAAAACCTTATATAGCACAGCCATTTCCAATTGATCATTACTGTACAGGAACGCCATATGCAAATTTAAAAGGCAGACGCTTATAGTGTGTAAATCATAAGAAGTGAGAAACGTAAAAATGGGGAAAGGCATATACAATCCTCTTTCAAGTAATATTAATAATTGGTAATGAAAATAAAAATATTAACCCAAACACGTTTCCTATTTAAAATGTACAGATGAGTTGAGTTGCATTTTAATTTTTGAGATCTGTATGGAAAATGAATATTGAAGTATCTACACATATATTTGGTATAGGCGCTGTGCACAACCGTGGAGCTATAGGGCCAATTTCACGGCGTTGCTAAGCACAAAAATTTGCTTAGCACTACAAAAAGTCTGGCTAATAAAAGCAGGTTACCAGCCAAAACTCCACTTAATGTATATTGCTCAGGATTAGGATCCAGCTGTTGCTTGCTTAGCATGAAAATCACATGGTATATTGCTCAGGATTAGGATTCAGCAGTTGCTTGCTTAGCATGAAAATCACATGGAGTTTTGGCTGGCAACCTGCTGTTATAGGCCAGACTTTTTTTGTGCTAAGCAAATTTTTGTGTTTAGCAGCGCCGTGAAATTGGGCCCTGGTTTTACCTCAACAGTAAGACTGCACTACCAGAATAACTGTTCATAAAAACACTCCACACACATTATTACTGTCAAGGCTACAAGGATCATTTGCACAATTTTCTGATTTTAAAGGGAATATTCAACATTTGCTTTTGCAGCAATTTTCAAAAAAAAATGAATTTGGAGGATAAGTGTGCTACAGAAAATATTGTTAAACTGACTAGTTTCACGTTTTGTTTCCGAGATGCTGGAAAATCCAAGAAAACCAACCATATTCTTGTAGTCTGGTTCTCTGACCCTACGTAAGATGAGACGTTGCAATTTATAGACATTGGGAATTGTAAGGTCAGAGAATCAGTCTAGCAGGCTTGTACCCCTTCACAGATGTGTAATCAATTGCAAAGTTAATGCAGAATGACTACAGATGAAAAATTAGGAGCAGTTTTTGAAAAAAAAACCCACTTTTCTCCAATGATAGTCGGCTGACCAACATTGGAAAAATACAAGTTTTCTTGAAAATGACAGCACAGAAGGAGCCCCAATTTTACACTTTGCTTTGAACGGTCATTCACTAACAGTCCAGTTAGATATTTTATTATAATTTGATCATTTCGTTTCTTGATGTTTGCAAATGTTGTATCTTCCCTTTAAGCCAAGCACATTAATTTGCTAACTGATTTTTCTTTCTGCTTACCATAACAGCTCCATGTGGCAAATGATCCTTTAACACACATAACCATTTGAACTATTCACACGGAACAGTTTATTGCCTGAAAGAATTTTGTTTCAGTTTCAAAACTCAGTTCAAAATATCAAATTTAAAAACTTCATATTTTTGTAAATTTTTTTAGTGCACACACTAAGAGTGTTCAGGACACAATCTGCTTGTCAAATCTTTAATACTGGCATGACTGGTATGTATATCTACATGGATGGATAAAAGTTTCCCAAAGATTTCCCACTGGCTATATAGCTAGTCATGAGAGATTTTTTTGAAAACTGGGCCTTGTCTTCAGCAGTGGCTTCTTGCACTACCATCATAAAAGTGCAGGAATTTCAGCGTCACAATTGTAAGTGCAAAATACGAAGTTGCGGACAGGTCAATTTCCTGCTTAACTCTTTCAGTGCCAAACTCGTACATGTACGAGGTATATTTGTTAGTACAAAAGCGCCAACCTCGTACATGTACGAGGTAATGTTCGTAAATGTTCGTACTTAAAATTGCCAAACCTCGTACATGAACGAGGTAGAGTAAATATGTTATCAAAAGGGGGCGCTCTCGCTCTTTCTAATGGTACCATTTTCATGCATGTACGACCTGTATTTATTTTTTCATTCGAGTTCTTGCGAGAGGGCGCAGCACTAAATCTCGTATTTTCTGCAAAAAGTGCAGAATTCCCCTGTGTGCAGGACAGTGTTTCAGGGTGTAACACTATGTTTGTGACTACTTTTGACTTTCCAATATATCAAGGATATACCAGAGAGCAACAACAACAAATTTAGTGAGTAAAACTTATTTACTTTTTTTTTGTTTACAGAATTTGGAATTAACAAAAACGCTCGAAGTTGGGCACTTTAGGGTTAAACTTTTCACATTTCGCGGGCACTGAAAGAGTTAATGATGATCAAATCCTTTTACGAGTCCAAATTCTGGAAGTATTTTCAAGAGGCTCAAGAGCCGAGTTTTTGGAAATGGCCAAGTCTCTAATATAAATGCAAAACCCTAAATGGACTATAAAGATAAACTAGACACACTGTTTACTTTAAAAGTTTTCAGCACCATATTTGCAAGAAGGGGATTGATTTCAAGGAGCTACATGTACCAGTACCAAGCAGACTTTTTTGTTGTTGCTATTACGTACTTATAACTCACCCGAGAACCAGGTATCAGCATTACGAGTCAATACACCTTTTTATTTGGCTGGTAATGGTAATCGTTTTTGAAAAAGTGAGTTCTTTCTGCTCTTACTAAATTATCTTGTTTGTAGCAGCTCCTGGAGATTGCAATGGCAGCACAGTGCTTGGGGGTGGGGTGGGGGATGGGGGCACACTATCTGAAGTTAGGGGGAGGGGGACAAAAGAGATAACGTAAAAAAAGACAATTTCAAAAAGGGAGGGATGGAAGAATGTCCCCAATGCATTATGGGGTGTGGGGAGGGGGTTACAGTATCCGAAGGTCGGACACAATTTCCACAAAATTTTAAAAAGAGTTTAGTAAAAATATCTTGAATGCCTCCCACTCTTTCTCATCCCCAACCCCTTTCGCCATGCTAGTAACGTCAGGAATGCTGCACACCTGTTAATTAAGAAAGACTAATTGTTGAACCACCAGCACTGGGCTGGAAAGTTCAGTCGGTAGATCGCAGGGATGGCAATCTAGATGATGTTCCAAATTCAAATTCTGCTCCAGTCATTTTCTTTGTAATTGTTTTTGGATTTGGCCACTTATCTCTGTACGTTGAGCATTCTGGACAGCTCAACGACCGAACTCCGCAGTGTGTCTCTGTCTCGGTCCACTGTCAGCAACTCTTCTTGTAGGTGCTCCAGGGTTCCGAGGAGCGATGAACGTTCGTTTTCTAGGACGTCCAGAGCTCGCTTCATTTTTACAACTTGAGCGATGAGTTGTGCATTCTCTTCTTCAAGTTGGGCCGGGGATGCTGTTGGGGTTTTGTCCTCTAAAGTGGGAGGAATGGAGGCCACTTTGGGTGCATCACTCACACCTGTAAAATTATGTAAAATAATGTACAATTCTGCATTTTATGTTCGTGATGTCAAAAAGGTGAAGAATAGGAGAAATTGCCTGTTCGGGTTTTTTCCTCTTGCATTTCTTGAAATAACATTTCTACTCATGTGTGATTGGAATGTGGTTTAAATCTGTTGCAATCCTGTTCTAAGGCAAGACACTTTACTTCAACTGCCTCTCTCGATCCATGAGTATACTTGTCAATGGGTATGTGATGATAGAGACCAGATTGCTCTGATCTCAAGCTGCTCCAGAAAACTGGTCTCATGACCTGAAGAACTGAGGTCATGATAGTGAAATGGTGCTTATGTTCTTGGGCAAGGCACTTTACCACAATTGCCTCTCCCCACCAAGGAGTATAAACGGACACCTGTCAGGGTAGAAACCAGATTGCCCTGATCTCAAGCTGCTGCAGAAAACTGGTCTCATGACCTGAAGAACTGAGGTCATGATAGTGAAGTAGCGCTTATGTTCTTGGGCAAGGCACTTTACCACAATTGGCTCTCTCCACCCAGGAGTATAAATGGGCAGTTGTGAGGATAGAGACCAGATTGCTCTGATCTCAAGCTGCTGCAGAAAACTGGTCTCATGGCCTGAAGAACTGAGGTCATGATAGTGAAGTAGCGCTTATGTTCTTGGGCAAGGCACTTTACCACAATTGGCTCTCTCCACCCAGGAGTATAAATGGGCAGTTGTGAGGATAGAGACCAGATTGCTCTGATCTCAAGCTGCTGCAGAAAACTGGTCTCATGGTCTGAATCTGATGGCTAATACATGTAGCTGTGAAGCACATTGAGACGTTGCACACGTACATATACACACACATTTGTTCATGGTGTAAATCAAGGATTTTCTTTTGTTCCTCTTCCCTTTTCTTTTGTTTGCACTAACGTTTTCGCAACAGCTCTCATTGGTTTTGTGTGTCCTCGATTTGCACCATAAACATGCGCATGTATACATAATAAGCAACTGCATTTTATAATTATTAGCCTTGATTTTTCCTGCAAGTAAAACTGACCTAATTATGTTGGCACTGAAAAAAAGGTTAAAAATATACAAAAAAACCTACCTTCTATGTGGAACACACCGTCGGCCGTGCGGTGTACGTGAATGGTTGACAATGCTAGACACATGGGCTGGGGACCAGGATGGGTCGGGTAGATGGGCGGAGTATCATCCTACAAAAAAAGGGGGGTGGGTCAGAATTTAATTAAAGACTGAAATTTTGAACAAAGTTTGTGTGAACGTCACCTAAAAGTTCACCTGATTGGTTGATTTCTAATATTGTTGATACAATGTATTTTTATACATCACTATTTGTTCATTATGTCTGATTGTTTGTGTTGTGCTTTTTGTTTATATTGTAAAGCGCAATGATCATTAGTTTGAAAAATTGCACTATATACAGTATTGGTATTAAACTACTAAAAACTGTGTACAGGCGACAGATTTTGCTAATCGCGTCTGCATTAGGATGACATGCCTTATTGTGGCGACAAACTGGTGTCACCCTTTTGTTAAAACGACCCTTTGAAGATAGAATTGTATTGTTGCAAACCATCTAGATTGATTCCTTGTGGTCCAAAACACACCTATACCGAAATTCGTGGAGAAAGAATAAGGTGCAGTTGGGTTAGGTGACATTTTAGGTTTGTGCACAAGTCTATGGGAAAGTTGCCCTATAAACCCTAACCCCCAACAGGTTTGCTCTAGGCACCCTGCCAATTGCAACAAAATACAACTTAGCTGAAATAAGAGCCATGATAAATGCAACAAATTGCAACAGTGGATTCTGTTGCATTGTGCAGTGAACCCAGTGCATACCAGCCTTGGCACCAAGCAGTTACCTTGCTAAATGCAACCAAATACAGCAGTGGATTCTGTTGTATCGCCTTGGCACTATGAGCAGTTGCCCTGCTAAATGCAACACATCGCAACAGTGGATTATGTTGCATTGTGCAGTTAACCCAGTGCACACCAGCCTTGGCACCAAGCAGTTACCCTGCTTAATGCAACCAAATGCAACAGTGGATTCTGTTGTATTGCCTTGGCACTATGAGCAGTTACCCTGCTCAATGCAACAAGATGCAACAAAGCACGGTGACTTGAGTTGCCTGCTAAATGCAACAGTATGCGACAATGTTTTAGCTCTGTTGCTTTCTGTTGCATTTAGCATGGTTAGGGAAGCATTCAGCAGTCATCGGCGCCCTAAGCTTCAAATGGGGCGGTTGGACAAGCATAGTTTAAACTGTAGACAACACTATTGACAAAGCCAGGTTTTGGAAAATGATCTTATGAGGGATCTTACCATGAGCTCGATTGTTGAGTTGAACGCCCTGATGGACATAGGCATGGCATCGCCTATCGTTTCGTCCGTCACAAAACTGCCAAGATGGGTCATGGTGGACATGCGGAAGGTGGTCACCAGACCGCACACCTAACCACAAAAAAAAAAAAAAATAAAAAATAAGATCAACCAAATCATATACACAAGTATATTTTGAAAGTTTGCTTGTTGAAAGACACACTGTAAATGACGGCCATTTCATTTGCAATTCGGGACGATTCACAATGCAGTGCGCCACCAAGAGTTTGCCACCGAGAGTTCATTTTTCCCAGTGCGTTGTGGGAGCTGGTCAACAAATTCACAGCGCAGGACATATGAAATTATTAGTTTTTCTGGTCAGTAGTTTCGTAAGCGTACGATTCAAGTATCTGTTTGCCCTTTTCTTTTTAATGAATATGGTGCTTTTTTGTACGGGCAGCAGAATGATATGCCCCAATCTATAACAAATTAGCTCAAGTAGTCTACTGACACTCATTCAAAAAGGCCTTATTTTGTCGACCGCAAAGTTGAAAAATGGACTCTCCATGGCAAACTCTTGGTGGCACACTGCACTGTGAATTGCCTGAATTGAAATAAAAACTTGCACCATGTATTTGAAGTGATATTTAGTCGTTCTACCACTTAAGTTTATGGCATAAAGTCTTTTTGAACTGAATTACCTCAAGTTGCAGGAATCCTCTTTCTCCACCCCCTGGCGATAGAATGTCTGCCTTGGGTCCGCTCTGTAACCTCAACAGCGCTACCGGTACATTGGCTGATGCTTCCAGCTCTGTGTCGTCCAGTTTGCTCTTTCTACTGCGCTCACCTAAACAAGAGATCCAACATGTGAAAACCGTGACTGAAGTATTGATTCTAGTCCTAATGCGCCGAACCAAACAGTACGTACATAAGGAGCAATAATAGAGCTATATTAAATTACTAGAGCGCTCACTCATGTACAAAGTGATGCCTGCTGGGCGCATCCATGTTTGTGCACAAATCTATGGAGTACTTGAAATTTTGAACGGCTTTTGTACGGCTATTTGCATATCTGCGTTTGTATTCCATACCGGTGCGTTATCGAAACCGATACGCCCAAAACCGGAATGCATGATCAGCAAATGAGCGTGTCATTTTGCTCTACGTAAATCTACGCTGCAGATGATTAACAGTGACAGTTTTTTTTTTAACCGTAACATGACGCGCTTAAGTTGTTTGCGTACGTTCTACTTGCACGTTGCATTTAGAGTACACTTTCAAAATCCAATCCATCTATTTATGTTCTACAAACACGCACATGAATTCAAAATGTCTGCGCCCAGGACAGCTTCAAAGCGTCTCTGCGCGCAAGAATGAGGAGTTAGCGCTCTAGTAATTTATTATAGCTCTAAGGGAGCAACACTGGCCAACCTAAGTTGATGTTGGTTTCAGACAGGTGAGTTTTATGTATTGATTCTCCATTGACTCAACTTTGAAGTCATTTCGAATGACTGCAACAGTCAATTTTTTCTGTATATTGTACATGCCGTTTCTCCTAACTGTAATGTTTATGTAATTAATTGAAATCTCCAGGATAAATTGGTTTGGCACCACCCTAGACTGACTGACTGGAATTGGTGTTATATACATACATGGTGGTTATGAACAAAACTGTTATCTGATATTTACTTTATACTGAATGAACACTTATTCTTTTTTTTTGGGGGGGGGGGGGTTTAGTGGGTAGGTAAAGATTGCACGAAGGGCAAGGGGTTGGATTTAGTGGGTAGGTAAGGATCGCTTGAAGGGCAAGGGGTTGGTAGGGTTGTTTGTTAAGGTGTTTTTTTGGGGGGGGGGGGTTCAAGGGAAGGAGTGGGGAATGAGGTGGGAAAAAGTGAGGGGTGGCCAAAGATTTTCAATACCTTGTTCTCAATTTGAGGGACTAACTCATAGGCTATGCCACAACAGACATGTCTCATCATCAAGCAATCAAAAGAAATTGATAAAGCCCCAAAATCAAAAAGTTTACTCTAAGGCGCTGATGGGGCATCAGAAAGAAGAAAAATGATTGATGGTACACCTCCTGAAACAGGTGAGCTTTCAGGAGTGTCTTGAATGTATGCAGTGAGGTGGTATCTGTAATGTATTCTGGAAGTTTGTTCCAGATTCTGGGGCCGTATACAGAAAATTATCCATCAGCAAAAGAGACACAATGGGTTCTTGGCTCAACATTATGTCATTATGCGACACAAAGTGATGTATGTCTATCACAAACTTGGTAAGTACAGGCACACCAATTCCTCTAGATTAGTTCGTATCATTGGTTCGAGGAATTTAAAACTGTCAGTCACATGGTAAGTTTTAGTATGGATTGATTACACAGGGTTCGACCTCAACTTTTTTGTTAACTAGCCAGCCGGACTACTGAAACGGACTCTTAACTAGCCCGCGGGCATTTTCACTAGCCCGCATTTTTTTTCTTATCTCAAATACAAAATGGCGTATTTTCAGGCTCAATTCTGAGGCAAGTGTTTTTGGATTAACATATCTAATAGTTTAACCTTTTAAAACAGTTGATAAAATTAAACACAAATTGATGGGGTTTTCTTTCTGAATGTAATGATTTGTACACTGGGAAATAAATTTTCACGTAATTTTGAGCATGACAATAAAAAAATCTAATCTAATCTACATGTAATCTAATTTATTTCTTCCTGTACGTTCATCGTTGCCGAATCCCAATAATTTTTCACTCGCCAGCCGGGCTACTTAAGGAATAGTTTGACTAGCCCGCCGCTGTTTTGACTAGCATTTGGCTAGCGGGCTACCACTTATTTCGAACCCTGTTGCAGCTGCATTGCATGACTGCATCCAACGTTCAAGTAACACATTCTCAACACCTGTGGCCAAGTTCGGGCAAGGACCATTAGTCAACTAGTGGTTGATTTGTGACGTACCTTACGCCTGCGCACTAATAGCAACGTGCGAACGTCTCTAGTCAAAAGTCTCTAGTCAAACACTGGTCAAAATCGACCAGTCAACCATTGGTCGACCATTGGTCAGCAATAGTTCTTGCGCGAACTTGCCCTTTGTTGTAGTCGGGTCACAAGTAAATCACAAGTCAATAGTATTTCTGTTACAAGCCTATCACAAGTTCCTCACAAGTCCATCACAAGTCTGGTTGCAAGTTAATCGTAAGTCTGTTCCCAAGTGTGATCACGTGAACAGTTACAAATGCCATTGAATAGCTTGCGACTTGCGCCAAGTTCGCGCAAGGACTATAGTTGACCAATGGTTAACTAACGTTTGCCCGAACTCTGTCTAGTCAACGGTGGTTGACTACGCTAGTCGACTATTTGGAACCAGCCTACTGGGGTTGGTTGCTTCGCTGGTAACCAATAGCCGCGCGCATTCATAACGCTAGCAGAGAGCCAGGATCCAGAAGTTTTGCGATGACATTTTGACCAGCGTTTGACTAGAGACGTTCGCACGTTGCTACCAGTGCGCAGGCGTAAGGTACGTCACAAATCAACCACTAGTCGACTAATGGTCCTTGCCCGAACTTGGCCAACACTTGCACTGAATTACTTGTGATGGGCTTTAATAGAGAGGACTTGATAACTTAACCTATATGTGTTTTACTATTCTGCCCATCAATGGCAAGTGTAAATGCAAACCAATACACTGCTAAAAATGGTATTCTTAAAACTAAAAAAAAATCTTATTTCAAGAAACATTTGCTCGTCTCACTCTCTAGAACATTTTTCAAGGGAGTGAGACAAAAAACAACAACATTCCTTGAAACAAGAATTATGTTCTTATATTCAGAAATGTAAAAAAATTATTTTTAGTAGTATAATTATAAAACTTATTAACCCTAACGTCCTAAGGGCTCTTTGGGGGTCAAGGACCAAATATCACAGAATACTAATGTGTTGTGCCACTTGTATGGAAAGAAATGCATAGTACAGGTTACTATAGCCCCATAAATGTGGCCTATTTACTGGACTACCTCCGTAAACATAGGCCCCACATCCACATGTACAAAAACGTGTCGCACTTTGCCAAATTTTGATTTTCACATTTAGGCTTAGTTTGTAGGTTTGTTTTGCTTTAGAAGCATACTCACCCTCTTTATAGGCTAATCAGAAAGTGCTGCCTTTTTCAGATGTCTAATTTTTGTGAAATTTCATGTTGAAATTTTGATATGCAAACGTGTGCAAATGAATCTGGAAATTTCACGAAAAATAGACATCTGAAAAAGGCAGCACTTTCTGATTAGCCTATAAAGAGGGTGAGTATGCTTCTAAAGCAAAACAAACCTACAAACTAAGCCTAAATGTGAAAATCAAAATTTGGCAAAGTGCGACACGTTTTTGTACATGTGGATGTGTGGCCTATGTTTACGGAGGTAGTCCAGTAAATTGGCCACATTTACGGGGCTAAGGTTACTACTGAGTAGAATTTTGTAGCTTTAGGTGAGGTTAGATTTAATGGTCCTGAAAATGTACATGTACTCTGCATGCTCTGCGCTGGACGTAATGAACTAATGTTCCAGTAAATGTATAATTTCCCCCTGTGTACGTTCAGACAACAGTCTTCATGTAAATTTGGGAATATGAACAAAAAAGGAAACAGAATTTGGGAAAACTGCTCACAATATTAGCTACTACGGATACAACATGCTACTTAGCCACTACGTATTAATACAATGATTTGGCGGGTGAAAACTGTGCACAGGTAAAGCATAGCACGGACTAAACATTCACTAGCAATGGAGGCTTTGCAATGACATGCTTACTAAAACTCGCACATCTCTCTCAACTTAATTCAGTATTGAGTTTTTGCTCTTAAACAATGTAATTTCATAAACATTTTATGCTCAGAGTTGTCCGAGGGCCAAAAATTCACAAACTTACTTGGAACTCGACTCAAACCCACGACCTTCTGCTTTCTAAAGCAGAGGTCTTATCAGTAGACCACCAGGCTTGTGCCGGTGATAAAGGCAAAGCCAATGATAAATTCACATCTCCTGAGTAGGTGCAACTATGCATTGACTGTAGCTGATGGATAAGCCAGCTGTGCCTACCATTAGCCTGCTTTTGTCGGTTGACTGAATTTGACTAGTTACATAGTACAGTGCTTGCTTGCAATATTATCTGACTGTTGGTGACTAGCCTGTGTAAAAGGCATGGTAGGGGAAGAGGATTGATTTTGATGGAGTCCATACCCACGTGAAGATGTAACAGGTTTGTGCACTTTTTTCGATGAAAATTACATGTAGATGTGCATGCACTGTGCCATCCACACATGAACTAGTATGTGCACACACCATGGCTTTCACTATGGCTCTCATGAGCAGACCTCTACTGTTTCAGCATGTAGTCCAAAATACAAACCCTAGGACTAGGGCCCGATTTCACGAAAAGATGCGACACGTCGCAAACCAAATTACATGTAACACGTAGCAACTCGCGACGCGTTGTACGATCCATTTCACCAAACTTACGATGTGTTGAACGCATTGTGAATTCCTTTCCTTGACAACCGCCTAATTAAAACACGTCCCAAGTTACGGCCTGACTGATGGTCATCGCGAAATAAGAAGCGTTTTTTTTCTCAGCCAGTTAAATGCCATAGAAATTACATAAACGAGACTTTAATACCGAGACAATGTGTGTACTTTTGCAAAAGGAAAATGCATTGAATAATTATTAACTAGCCTGCAATACTGCAGTTTAAATTCCAAAGTAGGTATCAGTCCACTGTGAGCTTGTTTTCCATTAAAACTGCATCCCACGTTCGCCATTTCGTTATACGTTTTAGAAACTTTTGGAGCAGAGATCCAACGACTGTTTGACTATCAGACGACTACTGTATATACTGAATAAAAGCATTCACCATATTGTGCTATAAATACACATACGACGCGTCGCAGCTGCAACACATCATAGGGATACGACTCCTCAAAGCGCTGCGATGCATCGAGTTACGATGAGTTATCAGGTGCTGTACCTTACCTATCAGAATAAATAAGCCACAAACGACGTTTACAAATTGTCCTAGGAATGTACAGAACATTGCAATTCATGACTAACGCTGCGTCCGAAACTCTTATCTAGAGCTACATGTCTTTTCTTGGTCTTCGTCCATCAAAAGCATCTTTGATACATGTATCTACATCTATAGGGCTCCCTCAATGACGGCCATCTCTGTAGGAGAACTGCAACTGCGTATTTTACGCAATCAAGCACGCATTGCGCATTGTTGGAAATGTTTCAATCACGCGCGCTTGTTGCTCGAAATGTGTTCGAAATACGACGCATCCGATGCGCGTTACATAAGTTGATGCTCAAAATGCCGATGCACGTGCATGGTCTGTAGGAAATGACGTCATTTGAAAGAGACCTATTATCTATGATAACAGACGTAGTCTCAGCTCTGGAAGTTTGTTACAAACATGATCTACATGTAGGTGCAAGGCATACAAAGTGTGTGCATTGTGCCCGTCCGGTATACGAAGTGCTGTTTTACACCCTGTATTGGTGGTTGAACAGTTTCCCATAATTATGAGGTGGGATGCATACCTGTGACTTAAAAATGCCTTGAACATGTATAGCTACACCACTCCCTACTAAAATGTCACTTGATATTTAACATCTACCATGTTGTTCATGTCCCAACCGTTGAAGTCCAAACTTGAATGATGACAGTCGGCCAAAAGAGTGATCCTTTTTGTTTGGTCCCTGTCCTCAACAATGAATGAACATGTGGCACAGTCGCCGCAGCAAAGTTCCCAAAACATGCACTTTGGGAATTTGCAGTGTTTCGCAAACGTCCAATCAGTCAACACCAAACACCCATTTTTTTTATGTTCTTCTCAAAATTGGTTTACCACAATGTACAAGAAAGTTGTAATACTTTGCATTCTCACAGAAAAGCGTGTCTCCCTTTCGTTACTCACCTGCGAGCTGGGGAAAGCGAAAAAGCTTTCCCCGCACTCTGACTGGCGAATTAGACATTCCCGGTGACGTTATTACTTCATAAACAAATTATGGGTGAATAAAATAAAGAGGAAAGAAAAAGTCAACATGTTTTTTTTTTTAATTTCTACTGGAGTACGATGTCACACATACATTGTACACAAGATTTTCACAACGTTGTTGAGCAGGTATTAAGACTGAGAAGCTAAAATGCTACACAAAAGTCACTGCAGGCATCTATGCATGTGTTCTCTGTGGCAAGAAAATAAAGAGTCATAGACCAATAACACAAACAGGGTGAGTAAAAAAAAACGAAACCCAAATGTCGGGACTACTGATTTAGGGAAGTTCTGCATGTAGCACTTTCAAAATCTAGGATATGAAAGCCCAATCCATCAGCTTTCTTTTAGTACAAAAATCATTCAAATCACTCATGTACTTTTCAAGTTACGGAATATTAAACACAACCACTGTTTTAAGGTTCTGCCCACGAATCACAAAAAAAGGTGTGCATTCTTTCAGCAAAACGAAAACAATTTACACACATCCCTATGTGATTTCTTTTCGTTTTGTTGAAAGAACACTGATCTTTTTTGTGATCCGTGGACAGAACCTTAAAACGGTGGTTGTGTTTAAAATTCTGTAACTTGAAAAGTACATGAGTGATTTGAATGATTCATGTATTAAAAGAAAGCTTAAGAATTGGACTTTCATATCCTACATTTTGAAATTGCTACATGCAGAACTTCCCTAAAACAATGGTCCCAACATTTGGGTTTTGTTTTTTTGTTACTCACCCTGTATTATTTCTGATATTTTTTTTTCAGCACTACCCTGAATTTGCAACGAAAAATAATAGTCAGGTATGCAGGGTCACAAGCAACAAGAAAATGCTACAAATTGAAACATGCAGTAACAGTATGTGATTGACAGCAATCTTGCATTGTAAACATACACGAACTACACACATTTATGTCGGACAGACTGCTTTTCGGGATATGTTTGTTAACAATGTGAAGTGTCTTGGTCTCTCAAGGTCCAGTGCATCGAACTCAAGGTCTGTGGGTATTTCTGAAGGTTGTTGGATTGAGTTAAAGGGAATGTACATCATTGGCTTTTGCTGTAATTTTTAGAAATGAACTATTTGAGGGGTTAGCATAATAGATCAAATATTGTTACACTGACATGTTTGAAGTTTTGTGTTTGAAAATGCTGGAAAAACCAAGAAAAACAAAAATGTTCAAGTAGTCTGGTTCCTTGACTCCACTAAAGATAAAATTGATCAATTTACAGATGCCGGAAATTGTAAGGTAAGGGAACCAGTCTAGCTGGCCTGCACCCATTCATGAACATGTAACCAATAGCAAACACAATTTGGACTGAAACAAGTGTAAAGTTGGAGCAGTAGTTGAAAAATAGTCAGGTTTTTCCAACGGTGGTCGGCCGACCACCGTTGGAAATGTATACAAATATACCATTTTCTTGAAAATTCACACCAGGTGCCATAATTTTACAGGATGCTTTAGACTGTCATTTACCAACATCCTAGTAAGGTATTTTGTAAAAACTTGGTAGTTTTATTTTTCGATTTTTGCAAATGTTGTATATTCCCTTTAAGCATGGAGGGTTGTGGCGCATGTGCCCTTGGGCATGCTGCTCCACATCTTGGAGCACATGGACATCTAAGAGGGCAGAGATGGTTACTGTGATCGATTCTACCTGCTTTGCGCCCAAATAGCAGCATCCAGCTGTATACTCCCATGGGGGCTGAGATGGTCTTTGGCATGTTTAATGTGCCCCATGAGCAGGGGTAACAATGTAGTACCTTGGGCAGCAATATTATACAAATATTGAGTGGCTCAGCGTGGAATGGGAGGAATATTATCGCAAGGTAAAATCTGGACTTTTCCATTTCACGAGGCAAAGCTGAGTGAACTGGTAAAGTCCAGATTTTACCGAGGGATAATAGTTCTCCCATTTCACAATTTATAGCCACTCAATATTTGTTTTATATAACTGACATACAGATCCTTGTCATTTGATATATTTGAACTTTTATTTCAATACAAAACTGGACAAAAATGTATTTCTCTCTTCCAAACCACCCCTTCACGAAAATGTTTGAACCCAACGCTGTAGTGCTGGCTCTTTGGAACAATACGCGCTACTTGCAACGCTGAACGCGCATACCAGCATGCTTTTGCACACAAATACCGAGTCATGGAACAAGAATGATCCTAACCGTTCAATAGTATTTCCCATTCCCCATGGGCGGATAGTACTTTTTGAGACCCGGCGTGAATGGGAGTAATAACGAATGTCACGTGATGTGAGTTCCACCAATCACATGACAAGGATCTGTATGTCGGTTATATAATAGTGGATATATACACGTATGCTTTGAAAATAATGATGCACCGTTATTAAAAAAAAAAAAAATCACTTTCAGTTCCCAAGTCTCATGTGCTGTATACTGCTCGGGACTGATTTCTGCTTTAACCCTAGCTCCCCAGCCTAATTTACTAGGAACCATACCCATTCAGGCAAATTCCAACACCCACATGGGAAATTGTACACACACACACACTGTTGGACTTAGTTTCTGGAGGTATGCCAAACCCAATGTAAAAGACCATCAGTTTAAGGGTACTGTACCTATCCCTTTGATGGGTTGAGTTCGGTTACCAATAGTTTCTGCTTGGCATCTCTTTGTGAAAATGATTTGAATTTTACCTGCTGAGATGGTAGACATGAACTCCTTAAAGTCCGCATTGCCCTTTTCTTCCCGCTCCAGGCGATTCACTTGAGCTTTGACGGCCATGTCAGGCCCGTTGACCTCTACAGCGGCCGTGACCCCAATGAGGTGAAAGGTCACCACTGACACCTGTGGGGAGGCCAGATGGCAAGTTAAAGGTTTATGGAATCTTGGCTTTAATTTTTAGCTTTGGTTTCATCTCTGGCTTCGTACAGAATTATTTAGAATGGACCATTTCCCAAACTTAGATTGTGTCTCCAGCTTAGGCTGCATATCACACTTCAGAAGAATCAAGAATTGGCGATTTCCTTAATCTATTTTGCCACGATTAGGCCTCATTTCAGGGTGTAGTATCATTAAAATGGCACATCTCCCAAAACACGATTTTGTCTCCAGCTTAGGGCTTAATCCCTGGTTTTGGAATCATTTAGAAAGCTTTGGTGACTAATCCAATGGAAATATACTCCCTGCCTTCCTCAATCCTACAAAATCCCATAAACCCTCCTAATCAATGTTATGGTTATCAAATCAAACCCACCTTCTTCAGTTTGAATTTGTTGTTTCTGTAATCTTCCACAATCTCTTCAGTACTTTCTCCTGCAGGTTTACCCTGTTCCTGACCTAAAATAGGGAACATTTAAAAACACACCTTTGTTATCTTAAGTGTTTCATTTTGTGGTTTTAAAAGAGTTTATGAGAAAATCTGACAACTCTTTGCCCCCCCCCCTTCCATTGTGTCATCCTACTCTCCCCCTTTGTAACGGTTGAGGGAGTACTTGTGCATGGAGACTCTACACATGATCGTTATAGCTTGTGCTCTTGAGCAAGGCACTTTACCATTATTGCTTCGTCCTTCGGATGGGACGTAAAGCCCTAGGTCCCGTGTGTTGTGTAATGCACGTTAAAGAACCCAGTAACACTTGTCGCTAAGAGGAGGGGTTTGCCCCGGTGTTTCTGGCAGTGGCAGCAATTATGCGCCGCAGCACCTAGCAAAAATGTGCTACATAATGGGTCTCATAATGTTTATATACTTCATTTACCTGGCTTTGGTTGCATTCTCCCCCTGCGCTTTGTATCCTCTGGCAAAAAGCGCTATATAAATACAGTTATTATTATTATTATTATTTTATTGTAATTCTGAGGCTTTCCTTACCTGCATCACTTTCTGTCTCCGTACCATGTCCACTACTCACGGACTGACCGTCCCCCTTGACAGCCATGACGAACCCCTCACTGGAGTCGCTGCTCAGTGAGATGATGTCAAGGTCCACTGATTCGTCCAGGGAGGTCATCGACTCAGCCCGGCTGCCGGTCTTGATCTCCTGTAAAGAGGAGAAAGAGAACTGGTGGACCCGGGCCAGGTCCGACTGGGAGGAGCTCCGCGGAGGGTGAGTGGAGTCACTGTTCCTGAAGACGGGGCTTCCAGATGCTGAGTGGGTCGTCAGAAGCATCTCTTGGGACTTCCGCCGCTGCGATCGGCTCCCAGTAGATGAAGCGTCAGATGGCTGGCGCGAGTGTGTCCGTGCCGGTGCGTTGTCAGTAATGAGCACCGCGCCTGGTGGCCCGTTGTTTGGTACAACAGATTCCTGCTGGAGAAACGCTCCTGCCTCTGTGCTCCCAATGCTCCCACCTCTAAACTCCTTCACAGGTGAGGAGCTGGATATTTCGACCGTTGGGATGTCGCTGTCTGGCGATCCCTTATCGGAGGCCGATTGTGTCAGCACTTTATCCTCGTAGGCGAAATCCTTGTCCGTTTTTGGTTTGTCATTTCTGACGCTGTCAGTTGAAGCTCCAACATCGCTCGCTGAGCCCATCTCTGAAAGACTTGCACTAGTCCTTCCGTTGGGGAGATCACCTGCCCCGCCTTCCACAGGTTCTTCATCGGTATCCTCATCACCAGGGATAGGTGGCATGACGATGGAGGCTTCTATGTCTGGACACTCGAAGGCCACCACTTGACTCAGCAGCGGGACAGGCCTGTCCTTGGACGCAAACATGTTCTGGTCTGCTTCAAGGGACTGCTGTAGATTCTGAACAGATTGCTGAAGTCGCAACAAAAACAGCATCTAGAAAAAGAAGTTATATAATGGATTAATTTTAAGCCAAAAGGTTTTGATTCAATGACAACGGTGTAAAATGGCAGGTGGTACCTACCTGATAATGGTTGATGACGAGACTAACTTTGGAAGGCGTATGTGCAATGATGTGCACGTCCGCTGTGTTTGCTTCAGTGCTGACCTCATGGCTGTTACGGGGTGCCATGCCGATGCCACTCGGTGCAAGGGCACTATTGCTGACAAGTGAATGAGCCAACGTCCTGTCAGTGCCGACTTCCGCGGGTTTGTCCCCGAGAGGGGCATCATGGGAATGCTGTGATTGGCCACTGTGAGCCAGACTGGCCTTAAGCTGCTCTGTCTGATTTTCTACGTCAGGATTGGCCGCAACACGCCCCAGGGCTCGGTGCTCTGCTGCTCTGGATGGTGACTGGTCAGAATTGACAACTTGCGAGAATTCCGGTAAGTGAGTCCTATCGCCTGATTGGTAGGCATGTGATAAGTGCGGATGAGTCCTGCCCTGGGATTGGTTGTTGCTTCTTTTGTTGGGCGAGCACAGCCATAGGCTAAGCGGGATCGGGTCGACCAATGGCACAGGTCGATCCGGGGAGCTGGGCACGCCCTGAAAGTCGGCCCAGATCTGCTCAATCTTGACATTCCACACGTCATCTACGGCGTCAGCTCTGAACACGTGAGTCGTGAGTTGGCTGATTCCCGGCGCAGAAGCCTGGGGCGGACTGGGTTGATGGTCACTAGACTGGTTAGGCAGGGTACCGTTGGCGACTGGGAACTGGGGTTCGCACTCGCGGGGCAGGATAAAGTTTGCCTGGTAGGCATGATCCCAAAACAGCTTGGGTAATGTCTTCAGGTCGCTGGCTGAGTTCGGGAAGGAGGTTTTGCCCATGAAGAGTTTCTTGGTGTTCAGAGATTGAAGGACATGGGAGAGATCGGGACGAGTGGAACCTGTGCCGACTCGGGAGTTGGTCGCAGTGACCTGAGACATCTGGATGTGAAGTTCCGGAGGTCGATCTGGTTGGCCTAAGACAGGGACCTCTGCCGGTAAAATAACCTGCATCACAGGCAAAATGCACAAGAAATGTAATCAATGCACGTCACACATCAATCAAATGTCATTCAGAATGATTCACATGACAATCACATGATTGTCACATCTGACTCACATGTCAGTTAGAAGTCGATCAGAAGTCAATCAAGAGACAATCATAAATCAATCACTATTCAATCACGTCAATAGAAGTCAGCCACAAGTCAAAGTACACCTTCAGGGGACAAACGTCTGAATAGCTTGTCACTTGACATGACACTGAATGATTGTTGACTGACTTGTGGGTGACATGTGATTGGCTTGTCATTGATAAGGCCAAAAAAAAAAAGTCTCCGGTTTCTGGTATGGAGCTTGTCCAAAAAGTGGTGCGGCGACGCGGCCTTTTTTTTTTTTTGGCCTGTTTTTTTTGCTTCAAATGTCGGCTGATGACTGCAAATGGTGCCCGACTAAACTTAGTGCAAATATAATGGGAGTCCAGAGAGGCCACATAAAGCTTATTCTCGATCATAACCCCATCTAAAAACACGTTAAAACTGTGCAGCAGCAGGATTCCAGTCAAACCAGTGAGTTTGGCGGTTTTGGGACATCATCTTTTATTGAAAAAAAAAACTTTTTCATTTTGCCGACGCGCATGGCTACGGCGACACGCGCGCATACCAGAAACCGGAGACTTTTTTTTTTTGGCCTAAGAGATTGAGTTCTGATTGTCTTGTGATGACTTATAATCGACTTGTGAATAATATGACTTTTGACTTGAAATTTTATCCTTGCTATAGGATAAAGGCAGGCTTTACCTTAATTAATAGGCACAAGTGCATTAAGGCACACATTAGAGTGGCCCCTTCCATCAACTTGTGATTGACTTGTGATTATTTTGTGATTACTGGTGATTAACTTATGATTGATTTGTGTTTGGACTTACCTTTGGCATCAGTGCATCCAGACGTATATCAGTATGATCCCTCCCTTCCGACACCACACCCTGGCTGTACTCGTCAACATCAGGCTGAAAGAAAAAATGTTATTAAACATGTTAAAGGGAATGTACATCATTGGATTTGATGTAATTTTCAGAAATGAACTATTTGAGGGGTTAGTATATATAGATCAAATTATTGTTACACTGACATTTTTGAAGTTTTGTGTTCGAAAAGGTTGGAAAAACCAAGATAAACAAAAATGTTTAAGTAGTCTGGTTCCCTGACTCCACAAAAGATAAAATGGATCAATTTATAGATGATGGAAAATTGTAAGGCACGGTAACCAGTCTAGCTGGCCTGCACCCGTTCATGAACATGTAACCAATAGCAAACAAAATTTGGACTGAAAAAATGGTTAATTTGGAGCAGTAGTTGAAAAAAAGTTAGGTTTTTCCAACGCTGGTCGGCTGACAACCGTTGGAAATGTATACAAAAATACCATTTTCTTGAAAACGACTTTACACCAGGTGCCATAATTTTACAAAATGCTTGAGACTATCATTTACCAACATCCTAGTAAGGTATTTCGTAAAAACTTGGTAGTTTTATTTTTCGATGTTTGCAAATGTTGTATATTCCCTTTAAGGCCAAGTGAGACCGAGTCCAAATCTGGCAGTCTAAGGCTATGGCTTTGATTTTTACCATTTGCCTGCCGCAGTGAAAGCCGCAGTCATAGACAATAATACCAGTTTTTTTGCACAATCTTAGTAAATGTGCGACTTAACCACCGTTTTTGTTAAGATGTCAAAATGACAAGTTAAAAAATTTCACTGAAGTTTGGATGGCACTTCAGGTACTACAGGGCAGTGCTATGGTTAACTTGATCTTAATATTCTCTGAATATTGTGCCCGTTTTTCAGCAATTTTGTCACCAGTTACTTTGTCGTTGGTTTGGGAACTTAAGTACTAGGTCCTTAATACAACGATATCAATAAGCATACCTATATAAGCATACCATATCCTGAATGTAAATCCTATTGAAACCGTTGTTCAGCACATTGAGCACAATAGTCGGTTTGGGCCATATTGAATTACAAGAGTGCTAACTTGATGTACAAAGTAATGCCTGATGGGCGCATCCATGTTTGTGCACAAACCTATGGAGACCTAAACATTTTGTACGGCTATTTGCATATATCTGGGTTTGTATTCCATACAGGTGCGTCATCGAAGCCGAAACCGAAACGCACGATCAACAAATGAGCGTTTCATTTTGCTCTACGCAAACAGCGCAACATGTGCGCTACTCCCTCCGCTGCAGATGCTTTTCGCCGTGATGCTCTTTGAACCGTCATGACGCGCTTTACGTAAGTACTCACACGTTGCATTTAGAGTACATTTTTAAATTCAATCTATCTATTCTGATTGTGTTCTACAAACACGCACATAAATTTAAAATGTCTGCACCCAGAGCGGCTTCAAAATGTCTTCGCGCGTAAGAATGAAGAGTTAGCGCTCTTGTAATTTAATATAGCTCTAAAGTTTGGGCAGATTTGGGATTGTGCCTAGCCCTGAAATACCCAGGGAGTTAGGACTACGAGAAAAAGGAAGATGATATACGAGATGATATACCAGCGTTTGGAGAATATTGCAGGAGAACTGGTTCAACCAAAGGATGGAAGTGTAGTCCAGACGAAACTGCACTGGATTGAGCTGGACGTAGAGGATAGGGGAAGGCACTGTGAACCAAACCGGAAAAAGACAATAATCTGATCAAAATACAAGAGCATTTAAAGGGAATGTACAACATTTGCTTTTCCTGCAATTTTCAGAAATAAATGGATTTGGAGAATTAGAACGTTATAGGAAATATTGTTAAACTGATTTGTTTCATGTTTTGGGCTTGTAGATGCTGGAAAAACCAAGAAAACCAATCATGTTCTTGTAGTATGTTTCCCTGACCCCACTTGAGATGAAACGGAGCAATTTGTAGACTTTGGGGAATTGTAAGGTCAGAGAATCAGTCTGGCAGGCTTGTACCTCTTCACATGTGTGTAATCAATTGCAAAGAAAATGCGGAATAACTAAATATGAAAACTTGGTCGCAGTTTTTGAAAATGAGCCAGTTTTCTCCAACGCTGGTCAGCCGACCAGCGTTGGAAAAATACAATTTTTCTTGAAATTGTCAGCACACCAGGAGCCACGATTTTACAGGATGCTTTAGACCGTCAATCCCTAACAATCCAATAAGATTTTTCGTGATAATTTGATCATTTTGTTTTTTGATGTATGCAAATGTTGTATCTTCCCTTTAACCCTCCGACGCAGAAACTAGCCCTTTTGGGGACCCAATTTGGTTAATTACCTTAATAAAAAAAAAAAATTCCAACCAACTCTGGTGATCTTCCATCTAATCCTAGCCAGAGACAGCCACTACGGATATATGCAGTCACCTTTAGTGTGTGACCCCGGGTCAGGCATATCTGAGCCTGACAACCTGGGCTAGCCATATACACGTGCACAAAACAAAGTCACTTGCGGGTAGCCAAGTGCACGACTTGACCACAGACTATGTATACAACATCTGTTTCCTGTCAATGACCTCCTTATTTATAGTCTACAGACATGTCGAGATTGTATACATATAGATACTGTGTTGTGTAGCCTCAAACCAAGGCGCTAAATATCTGGGTCCCCGGAGGGACCCCTTACTGTAAGCGTGTTAGTAAATGTGCTTTCTGCGTCGGAGGGTTAAAGGGAATGTACAACATTTGCTTTTGCTGTAATTTTCAGAAATAAATGGATTTGGAGGATTAGTAGGTTATAGAAAATATTGTTAAACTGACTTGTTTCACGTTTTGGGCTTGTAGACACTGGAAAAACCAAGAAAACCTATCATGTTCTTGTAGTCTTGTTCCCTGACCCCACTTAAAATGAAACAGAGCAATTAATACACTTGGGGAATTGTAGGCTCAGAGAATCAGTCTAGCAGGCATGTACCCCTTCACAGGTGTGTAATCAATTGCAAAGAAAAGTCAGAATAACTAAATATGAAAACTTAGAAACAGTTTTTGAAAAAAAGCCAGTCTCCAACGCTGGTCGGCTGACCAGCGTTGGAAAAATACAATTTTTTCTTGAAAATGTCAGCACACCAGGAGCCACAATTTTACAGGATGCTTTAGACTGTCAATCCCTAACAATCCAATAAGATTTTCGTGATAATTGGATCATTTCGTTTTTTTGATGTATGCAAATGTTGTATCTTCCCTTTAAAGAGGATGATATTTTTATATACCATAGCCTTCTGACAAGGCCATCATGACTCGGGTCCACATTTTCCTACATATATTTGTGTACATCCATAATCTGACTAAGGGACAAAGCCACGGCACAACTCGAGTGGAGACTATACTGTGTGACCTAGCTGTCACTAGGGCTTTGCACTTGTCAGCATACAACTCTAACCATAATCCTGCAATTGCCAGCATGTAAAAATTGGATTCACCCTCAATCCTCCAAAATCATCCCTTATATCTTGAATTTGTTTAGTGGAGGGGTATCCATTGCCTCAATCCTCCAAAATCCTCCAACAACCACTGTAATGGGTTGAGGCAGTGTCGATTACATTCAGTGCCGATGATATCGAGCATAATGCAGGGCTCAACTATGCACGACTGAACATAAACAATGCAGGGTACAGCCTACGAACTGGACACAATGCATCCTCCAAAATCAACCGACCCGTTTTTGCCATTCAGCGTCAATCCTCCAAAATCCTCCAAAAACTGCCTGGAGAAGGACTTTGGAGGATTGGGGAGGGTTAGGGTTAACAATGCAAATAGCAGTAGTCACAGCAGCCTATACGATGTGATGGTTTAAATGCATACATGTAGGAGATGTGATCCCAGGCACGCAGTAAGAACAGGGTTGCTTTGATGGGCATAAATACAAATAAATAAAATTCCTTGAGTCAACTATGGCTTCCTCGCACATGCAGAGACTTCCTGCAAATTGGTTTCTTACATGTACACAAAACCGAAACCCATATGTCGAGACTATTATTTTAGAGAAGTTCTGCATGTAGCACTTTCAAAATCTAGGATAGAAAAGCCCAATTCATATGCTTTCTTTAAGTACAAGAATCATTCAAATCACTCATGTACTTTTCAAGTTACGGAGTTTTAAACACAACCGCCGTTTTAAGGTTCTGTCTACGGATCACAAAACAGTTCAGTGTTCTTTCAGCAAAACAAAAACAAATCACATAGCGATGTGTGTGAATTGTTTTTGTTTTGCTGAAAGAACACTCACCCTTTTTTGTGATCCATGGACAGAACCTTAAAACGGTGGATGTGTTTCAAACTCGTAACTTAAAAAGTACGCAAGTGATTTGAATGATTCTTGTACTAAAAAAAGCTTATAAATTGGGCTTTTCTATCCTACATTTTGAAAGTGCTTCATGCACAACTTCACTAAAACAATGGTCCCGACATTTGGGTTTCGTTTTTTTGACGCACCCTGTATAAACCACAGTTCAGGTAACCTGAGGACTTTGGCCACTTGTCCAGACCAATGACTTGGACAGTGAAACTGTAGCCCCTTGTGCAATGTGGCATTTTGTACACAGTGGCCAGTACCATGAGTACTCTATTATGACTACCTTGGCCCAATTTCATGCAACTGCTATGAAGCAGAAAATACATGTATTGCCAACTGTCACCAATGCAACTAAAATTGCAAATAAAATCCAGTGCAGAAATTTCTGCTGTGAATTGAAAGAAAACAAAACCAATCTAAAAAGAGCATGCATCTGTTGGCAATGTTTACCCATAAGCAATAGTAGGCGTATTAATTGTATTACATTGAGTTTATTCACTGAAAAATCAATAAAACCATTGGGGCAATTCCACGGTTACTCACGTTACATTTTTGATGTACTTTTGAGTTTCCTTTGGCTGTAATAGCCTTACTGAAAAGGTTTAATAACTGTTATCCCCATGGTAGATAGAGTAGACCTAGACCTACCTAAGCACCAAAGATGACATGAAGAAAAATGTGTTAAATCAAGACACACAAAATCGGTTACTCACGTTACATTTTCGTAAAGTGAGTAACCGATTTTGTGCGTCTTGTTTATCACACATAACACATTTTTCTGGATGTCACCTTTGGTGCTTAGGTAGGTCTAGCTCTACTCTATCTACCATGGGGTTAACAGTTATTAAACCTTTTCATTAAGGTTATTACAGCCCAAGGAAACTCAAAAGTACATCAAAAATGTAACATGAGTAACCATGGAATTGCCCATTGAGTGCTCAGGCGTTTTCAGGCGCTACAGTGAGTAAAGCTTCAAAGGCTGAGAAGAATGAAGAAATTAGAAATAGCAAGAAACAAATATTACTGGAATTAACGATTAAAAAGCAAAGGTGATATTTGAATTTCATTTGTTAAGTAAGAAAAAGAAGTAAATGGTTTGAAATAAGCAGTTAAAATTAACAAGGGGGCAGATTTCGCACCCCCTCCTTTTTATAACACATGACAAAAGAAACTATGTGCCATGAATATACAAATTTGATAATAAGCCAGATCAGACAACATAAAAACACAACCCAAAGTTTATGGAGAAAGCCCAATAGTGTGATAATTAAAGAAAACCAAAACCACATCCTGTTTTTTTTTTTTTTCAAGTTAGTGACGTTATCCATGTTGCATACATGTAGATGAAGCTTCCACCACCAAGCACGTAAAAGTTTTTTAAAGGTTTTGCCGCTAGATTAGTGAGGTATTTTAGATATATTTACCGATTCTTTCATTGGTCAAATCTAACCATCCAAATCAAAAACAAACAAAAGAAACCAGTACACAAATTAAAAAAGGCGATCTGTTAGAACAAGTCTGGATTTTCACTTATAAAAAAGTACTTTCATAAATGCAGTACGAAGCCTATTTGTTCTTCATTTTGATACGCAACTCAGTTTGATATGTTTTTATGTATGATAACCATAGTTAAAGCTACCATGTTGCAAAGACAACCATGTTGCAAAGGCTCTCATGTCAATATATTAAACTAGAGATGTTAAAGAGGTTGTGGAATGCTCGGAGACATTTCCGTCATTTTTTGGGTATATGTAGCCTTAGGTGTGATGAAATAAAAACGACTATTGTTTCTGTCATGAAATGAGTACAAAGGGTACTTTTGAGAGCTATTTTTCAGGTCCTGTTTCGACCCGAACGTGCAATTTGTGTAAAAGTCGTCGTAGCGGGCAGCAAACAAAACACAGCAAATCGTGACGTAATAAACAGGACTCGTTTATGCTACTCTGCATCGGGAGTCCTGTTTATTACGTCACGATTTACTGTTTTTTTGTTTGCTGCCCGCAACGATGACTTTTACACAAATTGCAGGTTCAGGTCGAAACAGGCATGACAGGACTTGAAAAACAGCTCTCAAAAGTACCTTTTGTACTCATTTTATGACAGAAGCAATAGTCGTTTTTATTTCATCACACCTTAGGCTACATATACCCGAAAAATGACGGAAATGTCTTCGAGCATTCCACAACCTCTTTAAAGCATATTTATATATACAAAGTAGCAACTAGATTTTGCCACCTCGGATGGTACCAATAGGTGAATTTTGGGGTCCGGGCCCTTGGACTAATGTGGAGAAATATTCAGATAAAATATACAAGACGACAGCCCCCTTCTCTTAGGTTAATTAACAAACATGACAAAAAGAAACTATATTTTGCACAATGAATAGGCCCCCTATACATGTACCGGTACATGGGTGAAAAGGTTGGCTGTTCCTATTGAGTTTCATGGTGTACAATTCTGTTAAAAGATCCATCACTCAAAAGTAGCTCTGGCGACTTGTGACTCATTTTGCTGCATTGGGCCACAAACGAAAGCGAAAGTGAAGAAGTCAACGACAAAGGAGATTTAGTGTGGAGAGGTGTTATTTTCTTGCCTTCAATCCCTGTAACTGAGGTTCAAATCCCAACCAGGGGCCAATTTCACGGTGCTGCTAAGCACAAAAATTTGCTTAGCACGAAAAACGTGTGGTTTATAAAAGCCGGTTACCAGCCAGAACTCCACGTGATGTATATTGCTCGTGATAAGAGCTGTTGTTTGCTTAGCATGAAAATCACGTGGAGTTTTGGCTGGTAACCTGCTTTTATAAGCCAGACCTTTTTTGTGCTAAGCAAAATTTTGTGCTTAGCAGCGCCGTGAAATTGGGCCCTGGTTAACATGTGGCATTGGTTTTCAGTCCCTACCTGATTCTGTGTTTTTCCCTGGAATATCATTCCGGGGCTTTTCCTTCACTTCTAAAAGTATGATTTCCATCCTCATCCATTTCAAAAGACCCCCCACTGGAAATAAGTCAACAGACTTTCATGGGCTATCCTGGTCAATTGCCAAATAAAGTTAACAAATGAATAAAACGTGCCAGTGCACTGTTGAGAAACCTTTGCTTTCATCCATATACCAAGGGAATACTCATAATTGAAACATGAAAGTCAGACACAACAAACCTGGGAAGTTCAGTTCGTCCGGAAAATAGAAAGACGTGTACTCGATGTGCAAGGAGGGCATCTCGCTGGGCAAGAAGAAGGTTTTCTTGTCCGACTGGAGCAAGAATGTCTTGGCCTTGGCGTGCTGACCGGCGCTCTTGCCGACCGCTACGTTGTGGAACTTGAAGTCGCGTATCCTGACCACCATGCTGTGGGACATCAATTTGACCCTTGACCTTGGCCGGGTCGCGGTCTGGCCCTTGGCCTGTGTCGCCTTAGGCGGCTGACCCTGGGGAGCTTTGAACTGCTGGCCTTTGACATCTGGGCGACCTCTGACATGGTCTGAGTCCTGGGGTTTGACCTTTGTGTTGGGCCCGGTTGCTGGTCTGGGTGGAGGTGTTGTATTTCCTGAAAAACGAAATGGATACCGGATAATTAACCCTGACCGCCCTGAATCCTTCAAAATCCTCTTTGCCAAAGTGAAGGAATTTGGAGGATCGAGGTTACATGGCAAAAGTGTGTTACTGATTTTGTAGGATGCACTTTGTCAGGGTCTTGGGCTGGACCTTGTGTTGTTTTTGCTCAGCCATGCATAAATATAGGCCTGGATTATGCTTGAAATCCTCGGTACTGCTCCAGGCAGACGCTGGCCAAGCCTCAACATATTGACAGTCACTGCCGCAGGATTTGGCAGGATTCAGGCAGTGGTCACCACTCCATGGAACATATTCAATAAACAATGGAGGAATTTGCAGGATTGAGGCTATATGCTATTTTTCCATGAGGCCAATTGGAGGATTTTGCAGGATTGAGGCTACATCCTGGCAAAAAGGCCTAGATAGTTAGGGTTAAACTGGACATTAAAGTAATTTTACTACACATTTCTCAACTTACAATGTAAAGGGAAAATACAACATTTGCAAACATCAAAAAATAAAAGTACCAAATCATTTTGAAATACCTTGCTGGACTGTTAGTGAATGACAGTGTAAAGCATCCTGTAAAATCATGGCACCTGGTATACTGTCATTTTCAAGAAACGTGGTATTTTTGTATCAATTTCCAACGCTGATCGGCCGACCAGCGTTGGAAAAAACTGGCTTTTTTTCAAATACTGGCCCCAGTTGACCATCGCACTTGTTTGCAATCGATTACACACCTATGAACGGGTACAAGCCAGCTAGACTGGTTCCCTGACCTTACAATTCCCTAATGTATGTAAACTGCTCTGTTTCTTCCCCAATGTATGTAAACTGCTCTGTTTCTTCTTAAATGGAGTCAGGGAACCAGACTACAGGAAAATGATTGTTTTTCTTGGTTTTTATAGCATTTTCGAACTCAAAACCTCAAAAAAGTCAGTGTAACTATATTTGCTATATATTTCCAACCCCCCAATTCCATCCATTTCTGAAAATTACAGCAAAAGCAAATGATGTATATTCCCTTTAACTGAACATACCTTTTGGTTACTTTGCCACTGCCCATGATGTGCCAAATTTGGGGTCAAATTACAATTTTTCCTGATCACATTTTTGCTAATTACCTTTATTTGAGCTCTGGCCTGGGACCTTGTGTTGTCCCTTGCCCGCTGACTGCTTTGCGATGTGGTCGGCTGCGTACTTGTACTGTTGTTTCAGGTGCGCTAGTAGCGTGTGGATCCACTTGTCCGAGGTGCGCATGGAGTCGTCGTAAAATTCCCAGTGCTCCCTACTGCTGCCTGTGAACAGGATCGCAATATTGAGAGAGGTCACACAAAACCTCAATAACACCCTAACAGTGTTGTCGTCGAGTCCATCACAAGTCCTCACAAGTCCATTAACTCTTTCAGTGCCAAAGTCGTACATTTACGAGGTATATTTGTTAGTTCGAAATTGCCAATCTCGTTCATGTAGGAGGTAATGTTCGTACTTAAAATTGCCAAACCTCGTACATGTACGAGGTAGAGTAAGCATGTTATCACAAGGGGGCTCTCTCGCTCTTTCTAATAATATCACTTTCATTCAGGTACGACCTGTATTTGTTTGTTTCATTCGAGTTCTTGCGAGAGGGTGCAGCACTGACACTCGTATTTTCTGCAAAAAGTGCAGAATTCCCCTGTGTGCAGGACAGTGTTTCAGGGTGTATCACTATGTACGTGACTACTATTGACTTTCCAATGTACCAAGGATATACCAGAGAGCAACAACAACAAATTGAGTGAGTAAAACGTTTTTCCTTTTTTTTTAACAGAATTTTGAACCATTAAAAAAACGCTCGAAGTTGGGCACTTTAGGGTTAAACTTTTCAAATTTCGCGGGCACTGAAAGAGTTAAAAGTCAGCAAGTCATCTAAAGAATTATTAAGTAAGATTTGAGGCTTGGCATGGTGGAGATACTAAATAATGAATGGTTTGCGGAAACACCATGTGGGAATAGAGGATGGCTCTGAAAAGAACCAGAGGTATAAACTCGACGTTCCAGTCAGTATGCTCTGACCGTCTTCAGGAGAGTGCCTAAACTCTAAGAAAGTACATACTTAAGAGACTGATGGGTCTCCTATACCCTAGGTCCTCCCTCTACTGACACTGCAACCCTACTGTTCCACTTCAGTGGGCACCAAGCTTGCTCTAGGATCCCGTCTACTTGGCATCCTCACAGGATGCAACTTCACACTTCATTAATTTCGCTTTTGCTACTGAAGTATATGTATGTACTTTCTTCATGTTCTTAGAGTTTAGGCACTCTCCTGAAGACAGTCAGAGCATACTGACCAGAACGTTGAGTTTATACCTCTGGTTCTTTTCAGAACCATCCTCTTAGTTGAGAAATTATTCGCACATGGTGTTTCCGCAAACCTTTCATTATAAAGAAATATTGTTATCATTTGTTCAACCCCTGTCACACTCACTTGTGACAGGACTTGTGAAAGAACTTGTGATGGGCATTTGATGGAATCGACGACAAACTCAACATTATTCATGCCAGATACATGCCAACACAGTGCAATCAGTGTCAGTCATTAAAGTTTATACACCACCTGAATAAATCCCCGTCATCTGATTGGCGGATCGTTGATCACATGTCATTGAATTATTCGTACCAATGCACGGCGTGCGCGTGGAGCGCAGCGCACAGTGCAATGGAAGTACTATTGCACTGTGATTAGAAGTACCATTGCACTGTCACTGCACATGTTGTCGATGGTGGCGCTGTGGTGTTTAAATTGGCAATACAAGTTCTGAACTTATTGAACTGTTTGAGTTCTAAACTTATGGAAAAGTTTGAAATTGAGAAAAATTGAATATGATAACTCTGAACTCGTCAAACTTGTAAACAATTTTTAACTTGAATAAATTGGCTATTAAAAGTCAACCAATCAGATGACGAGGATTTATTCAGGTGTTATATAAAACAAATAATGAATGTTTCACGCTCGTGCAATGGAAAGAACAATTTCATGAGGTGACAGATGAAATGTTCCATTCCACTTGGCTTCGCCTCGTGGAATGGAACATTTCATCTGTCACCTCATGAAATTATTCTTACCATTGCACTCACAAACATTCATTTTTTGTATACTGTACTGTGGAAACTTGTTGTCTTTGGCTATCAACATTAGTCGTAAACACGAATGCAAGTACAAGATACGTGTAGCTACCTTGGCTTCCAAGAAACGTTGAATTATTAACCAATGACGGAAGAAGGTTTGGCTCATGAATATGCATGTGGTGTAATAATAAGACTTACTCGCTGTGTGAAAAGGGTAGTAGTCCAGTGAGAACCCATGTAGACCGATCTGCATGGCTCCGTTCTCCACGCGCCGCTTGAATTTTTCTGGAAATATAGAAACAAAACTTCACATCCACATGCCATAATGACTAACCGAAATTATGTGGCCTGCCCTTAAAGCAAGAGCTTTGGTTGTGTCCGATTAACTTGGCTACAGGCTAGGACTATATTTCAATAATAATGCAGAGTGACAATATTGTTTTGATACCTGACAATACTGAATTATGTTGTCAAAATACAGTTCTGTTGGAATTGCTCCTGTTCAATGTTGAGTTCTGTTGAATTCAGAGGACAGTTAGGGTTAGAGTTTAATCATATGCCATGCAACATGTCAAATGAAAACAACACAATCATGACAATGCTACATACCGGTACATCAAATACAAACCTATTAAATGCTACATACATGTACATAAACATGGTTAACTGTGTGACAACTCTGTTTTGACTGTGCAAACGGGACCCACATACATGTACATGTGCATACATGTATATACATGTATATGTCCATGTGCATGTACATGAACATGTTCATGTGCATACATGTGTGTACATGTACATGTACATACATGTACTGTACATGGTATAATGGACCTTATTCAAGAGGTAGCCATTTTTGTTGAGTTCCCTCAATATACTGCATAAATTGTTAACTGTTCAATGGGATGGCCCCAGACTATTTATGCTTGCAGCCTTATTTTACTGTCCTTTTTTTTTAATCTGGCTTAAAACATGTTTAATTACAAATGTTAATTTAGTAATTGAAGCATTCTTGAATTAATTAGTAATTTACTTGCTTTGAAGTTCCAAAAATGAAGATTTTACCTCACTTTCAATTCAATATGGCCGACTCGTGAATAAGGCCCATTACGTTCGTGCACATACATGTACATGTGTGCAGAAGCTCTTGTGCATCTACAACATGTACAGAACTACCTGTACAGAACATGTACAGAACAACATGTACAGAACAACATGTACAGAACAACATGTACAGAACAACATGTACAGAACAACATGTACAGAACAACATGTACAGAACTACATGTACAGAACAACATGTACAGAACAACATGTACAGAACAACATGTACAGAACAACATGTACAGAACTACATGTACAGAACAACATGTACAGAACAACATGTACAGAACAACATGTACAGAACAACATGTACAGAACTACATGTACAGAACTACATGTACAGAACAACATGTACAGAACAACATGTACAGAACAACATGTACAGAACTACATGTACAGAACAACATGTACAGAACTACATGTACAGAACATGTACAGAACAACATGTACAGAACTACATGTACAGAACAACATGTACAGAACTGCATGTACAGAACTACATGTACAGAACAACATGTACAGAACTACATGTACAGAACAACATGTACAGAACTACATGTACAGAACATATACAGAACAACATGTACAGAACAACATGTACAGAACAACATGTACAGAACAACATGTACAGAACTACATGTACAGAACAACATACAGAACTACATGTACAGAACAACATGTACAAATGTACAGAACAACATGTACAGAACTACCGGTACATAGTTCATATGGACTGACTTCTGTTCAAATCTACACAACTGAAGGGTTAAAGGTCTAGTACCTGCACTACATGGGTTAAAGTACATTCACAAACACACAATTCAATATTATGTACGAACAATAAGATACAAGTAGTCAGGTCCATCACAAGTTGGGTCATAACTAATAGGGCTGTCCCAAATACACCGAATAGTTGAATATTCGATCATCAACCAAATATTCAAATAGCTTTTTGCCGGTTTAAATATTCAGGAAAAAATACGCACATACACATGCGACTGTTATGTTATTTTATCATAAAGTTACGGCGTTTTATTGTCAGGTGCAATTTTTGTTTTTGTCGACTGCAACTTATTTGTTGGCAGCGGTTCATTGTTCACATCCTTTTAGCAGATTAAAGCCCTTTTACAGTCATTCTGCAAAACACTCTGCAGTGCTCTATATCGATCGCCAACTAAATCTTAAAGAGGTTGTGGAATGCTCGAAGACATTTCCGTCATTTTTTGGGTAAATGTAGCCTAAGGTGTGATGAAATAAAAACGACTATTGTTTCTGTCATGAAATGAGTACAAAGGTTACTTTTGAGAGCTATTTTTCAGGTCCTGTTTCGACCCGAACGTGCAATTTGTGTAAAAGTCGTCGTTGCGGGCAGCAAACAAAACATAGTAAATTGTGACGTAATAAACAGGACTCCCGATGCAGCGTAGTATAAACGAGTCCTGTTTATTACGTCACGATTTACTATGTTTTGTTTGCTGCCCGCAACGACGACTTTTACACAAATTGCACGTTCGGGTCGAAACAGGCATGACAGGACTTGAAAAACAGCTCTCAAAAAACTTTTGTACTCATTTCATGACAGACACAATAGTCGTTTTTATTTCATCACACCTTAGGCTACATTTACCCGAAAAATGACGGAAATGTCTTCGAGCATTCCACAACCTCTTTAACTGGCACACTCTTCGTGCAACTAGTAACCAGCGCAGCACACAGTTGCAGCTGGCAGTTCCGAATATCCAAATATTCGGTCAAACGTAGTTTTGAGTAATCGAATACTAAATTATTTGAAAGTGAACAGCCCTACTCTCCAAAGAAAACAACTCATGTTTACTATCATGACATCACAGTGCCCATGCACATATTGGTAATGCACTCAACACACATGAAACACTAATGACACACAACATGCACATGCTTTGTGTATACCTTCCGTGTCTGCATTAAGGTCACCAGTGTGGGTTAGAAATGGTGTAAAGGTGAAAAATAAAATAAAATGGAAAAATTTAGGAAAATTTTGTTAAAATGACCAGCATATTGTTCTAATGGCTGAAATTCACAGAATTTTCAAAATGTATTTCAACAGGCAATATACAAACTTTACTTAACAAATGAGGATGCTGTAACTAATAAGATGAGATTTGAAGGTTTGCATGTTGGAAAGATACCAAGACAAGATAAGTTTGCGGTAGCAGCATGTGAATGAATCTCTTTTGTGAGTATGCGTGGTTCTGAAAAGAACCAGAGGGACTCAACATTTCAAACAGTATGCTCTGCCCGTCGTCAGGAGAATCTAATAACTAATAACTTTTGTTGGTTCATAAATGTACATTTGGGCAATTCCACGGTTACTCACGTTACATTATTGATGTACTTTTGAGTTTCCTTGGGCTATAATTACCTTACTGAAAAGGTTTAACAACTGTTATCCCCATGGTAGATAGAGTAGACCTAGACCTACCTAAGCACCAAAGATGACATCCAGCAAAATGAGTTATGTATGATAAACAAGACGCACAAAATCGGTTACTCACGTTACGAAAATGTAACATGAGTAACCGTGGAATTGCCCATTTGAAGTTAATGATGTGAGTTTATATGTCAGTTAATCAAAACATAACTCTTTGCAATGTTTAATCTTTGCATATAAATTATTCTGGAAATTCAATAAACTGACATTAATTTCCAAATTTGTGCATCTCACATTCACATCGTTACTGCATCCTCATTCACTTAAAAATTGTATGGCCTATTGGTTTATACACATCTCTTTTATTACTGAATCTGCAAGCAACATTGCAATTAGTGCACTTTCAACAACATGTTGGGAATTTGCGTTGCACTAGCGCACAGACACGCACTTTGACCCCTCATGAGTGCACCAATACAACACACAATGCTGTCACAATCTCCAGCCGTAATAAAATTTACGAGTGAAAGAATGTCGTAAATTTTTATTTCCTCTGTCCTTACTTTCAGACTTTGATCTGCTTGAATTCACTTGCACGTGTACTTGAAAAAGTACGCTAGCTTTGTTTAGTGCACATGACGGCATCTTTTTTACATGAACTAAGGGGACCAGCACAATTGTAGATTTTTTTATGTTGGCCATTAAAAGAGGTCAGGCGCAGTCTGTCCAACTTTACATGCCTGCTACATACAAGCAGAAAACCAGATGTCAAATTACACACACAGGGGAAATTTATTCACAGAAAAGGGGTCCTGGTTCGTTACTTGAAGTCCCTGACCTTGACACGTCCAAAAAGTTTGAGCACATTTTTGGGGGTGTTTCCATAAGGTTCGAATAGCAAATTTTCACACATGGTTCTGGGGCCAGAGAGAAAGCCAGAGCTGGAGATACAGCCAAAATTTCAAAAATGGTCATGTGGTTCTGCGGCTAGAAAGGAAGTCAATGCTGATATAGGAAGCCAAAGCTGATAGGAAGCCAACATTTCAGAAATGGCCACCAAATCCCAGATAAACCTCCCTGTTCCAACAAACTAAGTTATCACCACTGTCAGTATTGTTGGTGCGCTCAAAACTATTTTAGGTGCTATATGCTTTTTGCCTTTATAACATGAATAACCTTTAATATAACCAAATAAATTGGGCCTATGGATTCCGTGCACAAGTACCCCTTAACTGCTTGAGAAGGGAAAGTTAGGGAGACCATTGGGAGGCATAATCATACGCATAGCTGATGCTCAAGGAAAAATGCTATATATTACAGTTTTTTCTTTTTCTTTTGCTCTTTCAGAATAAATTTTGTGGTGCGCACTTGGCACCATCACGCAAAAAGTATGCGGATGCAAAAGAGTCCATTGAAACCATCCTGCTTTTAAAAAATCTTTTCCAACGGACTTGTGCAAGTCCTCTTCTCACCTTTTTCCGGCTGGTTCATCTCATCGCACAGGTGCAGGTCGATGCTCCGGGTGAATAAGTGATAGGAGGTTTCCTGCACGTCGTACTTTTCAAAGTACTGCAGGCTTTGTAGCTCCTTTTGCGTTTTGATGTTGTGGGCGGCGTGGCTTGCTGGGCTGTCTTGGGTTGGCGCAGTGGCGGGCTAACACATTGAGAAAAGGTAACATTTAACTATAAAGTCAAAGTTTCCAACTACAAAGAAATTGACTGGAGTGGGGTATGAACCTCCAGCCTCCGGAGTACTGTTCCGGTGCTCTACCAACTAAGCTATCCAGCCCTACCGGTATATTGGCTATATCCCACTTTATCAATATCTATGTCCACAGAAGCTATAAACTTATGCCATTCAGTTGGGGATTACGTCCAAGGTCACAATGCTAGTATCGTAAGGAAAATAGAAAACGGGGATCTCTCGCAGAGGAGTGTGGCTATTAAACCTAATCAATTAAACCTCAAGACTAGGTGCATGAAAAATAATAATAAACTGAACAAAAGAATTAACCAGAGTTGGATCTGAATCTGCAGCCTCTGGATTATTATTACGTCGCTCGCAGGCGGGATCTCCTGCGGCGACTCCAGCCTCCCTCGCAGGCAGCCAGTTCTGCCTTGGGCTCCGCCCCAGTATCCCTCTTCAGGACACCGTACCGTGCTCTACCAACTGAGCTATCCAGCCCTATGTTGGCGGTTTCCAAATTTGTTAACCCTTCCCGTACCATGGGCGACTTTTGTCGACAAGAAGAACCCCCACACACAGAACACCCTCAATCCAGATATATTTACTACTTTTCAGAAAGGCGGCATGTTGCTATGTTTGGCCACCCATACATCAACCATATACCAGCTGAAAGAGTGTTTTCGGATCATTCTAATGTGTAGTTTATTCATAGTATTACCATGAAGAAAAAAAAATGAGAAAAGTGCTTCATAAGTATCCACGCACAATTTGAGGTATGGAGTGCCCTTTGGTCATGTGGTGAAATGGCCTGCAGTTTGATAAATGGGACCAGATGAACAAAAAGGCATAACTTTCTTATATTTGCACATATGGAGTTCATTTTATATCACATAAAAGAGTAAGGTTCAAGGAACAAACTTTACACACAACACCTATTATTTAAATCACTCCTTGGCAGTGAAAATCTGGGTTGAAAAAGTGAGTTTTCGACTTGTGGTCATTTTTTCACGCTCTAGTGATTTCCGCATGACTGAGCAAACAATTTGGTTCTGGGGAGAGCAAAGTCAATAAACAATGTGGTAAGGAAAGGGTTAATATCTTTGTTCAAGGGTGCTAGTCAGAAGCTATTAACCGGTACATGCCATGAAGCCAGGGATCACGCCCAAAGTCATGATGCCAGCAACATTAGCAATGCTGCAAGGTAATAGCAATCAGGCATCACTCAGAGAGGATACATGAGTTTTTATTACAAATATTTATCAAATAAACAAGAAAGGGAAACTGGTCGATACCTGTCCTTTATCAGCTGCCCTCGCTTTACTGAGATTGGCCGCTTTCTGGATGACGGGCATGAGGCTGCGGATGTGAAGTATGACGGCTTTCATCTGGGAGTCGGTCAGCACCCATAGGATGTCGTCCAGCAGCATCTGAAGCTTGGACGTCACCAAGCTGCAGTCGACCTCCCGCTTCTTGATGGTAACCCGCACCTGGTTACCAGGGAAAAGAAAAGCCAGGTACAAGTGGGCACTGCTTGTTTTTTTTTACGGTGCTTATAAATAACATTCATAAATACCTCAGACAGTTTAGCTATTCCTATAGGTCGAGAGCCCGTCACGTGGCCTGTCTTAAACAGATGATAAAGACATGGCTAGCTGGTCTTAAACACTTTTCCAGTGTCACAATAAAATGTGGACTCCTGAAAATCCAGTGCCTCTTATCGTTTCATTGGTTGACCGTTCACAATCCTCACAAAGGCATGCGCAACACTACCAGGGAGTCAGAATTTTAAAGTTCTAAATTCAAAACGCAACGCGCCAGGTGCGTTCTCCGCGACATCGCGCAGAACATGATACACGCGCGTCAATCTCCATAAAAGGGTTGTTTACATCTTACTCGCCAGCTGAACACTCCATTATTTTGCAAGAGGGATATTTCAAAAAGCATAAAGTGAATTTGTTGAACAAAATCGGTATGGTTTGAACGAATTATATGATTTTTTTTACCGAAAAGGTATTTATGAATGGGAATAAATATGTGCTCCGTCAGTATTTATCACTCTGTTTAAGACCACTTAGAGTCTGGGTGCTGATAATTACCCTCGCCTCCTGCTCGGGTAATTATCAGCACCCAGACTCTAAGTGGTCTTAAACAGAGTGATAAAAACCTCCAGAGCACACATTTATTCCCTTAATAATAAAAAAACCACTACTCCAACATTTACACCAGGGCCAAATTTCTTGGCTCTGCTTACCTTTAGCGATAAATCCCTGCTTACTGTAGCAGAAAATTCCGTGCTTAGGGTAAGCGTATTTCACACATTAGTGAGGAATTTTGGCTTTTGCGCATGCGTATATCCCATAACTAAGGATTTTGTGCTGACAGGTTAGCACAGAATTTTTCTGCTAGCGCTGTTCGTACAAAATGATGATCGTAAGCGCGGAATTCTGTGGTTAGCAGGGCCAAGAAATTGGGCCCTGGGCCCAATTTCACGGCGCTGCTTAACAGTTAGCAGAAAAGTTGTGTTTAGCAAAGCAGAAAAATGTGCTAACCTTAAGCACTATTTCACGGCGTGGATGTGCTAACGGTCACGCGTGCATGGAGATTTCTATTGTTACGTCACTACGTTAAGCAAATTTCCCCCCCGAGGTTAGCGTGCCTTTTGCTGTGCTTATGCTTACGGTCTCCGTGAAATAGACGAAGACTCTGTTAAAAAAAAATCGTGTGCTTAGCAGCGCCGTGAAATTGGGCCCAGGTTACCATTGACATACACTTGTACATGTAGGTCCACATATTATTCTTAGGTCTTGATGGTACCTTGCAACTGTTTACCAGTGAAATGAAACAGTCGTAACTCATTATACGTACACTTCCTGAGTCTTGATGGTACATGCCTGTTTGCCTTACCTTTCCTTGATTAGTGATCAACCTAATTGGGGTAGTGGGCCGTTCCTTGTCAGTTTCAATCGCATCTAATGTCAGGCGCACGGTGGACCATTCCAATTCTTTGAAGGTGAGTATCTGTTCCCGATTGGAGTCTTTGATGCGGCTGTAGCGCAGGTCTGCCGCTTTCCAGTTGGGAGTTGTGCTCTGAACAATGAGTTGGGCAATCTGTATGAAAAACAAATTTAATGAATAAGTGCATAAATATATGTGATGCGATCAAGCTAAATGAGTCGTTTGTCGGGAATTTTTATTTGAAGATACAGGCCAAAATAGGGCCACTTCATCACATCACTTCATCACATCTCTTGGTGTTCCGAATTCATAATTTCTGAACTAAAGATGGTATCAGCATGCGGTTTTCACAGCAGTTATGCTGAGATTGTGCTCTTTTCAAATCTGTTATAACAAAATTGTTGACCGGGGTCGACAAACGACTCATTTAGCTTGATCGCATCACATATAATAAATAAGTTAATACATCATAATGAGGAAACAATAACAATTTATAGATAAAACACCAATTGATAGTGCACTGTACATTTAAACAGTTAAACAAAATAAACTAAACTAGGTAACCATGAAAAAGTCCAAGAGAAAAATAAGAAGCCGATAATTTAAAATTGAATGCTAGAAATATGGCCAAAAAACTGACTTTTATAACTGGCATACATGAAAATCTATTAATTAAAAATTATAAACGAAGAGACAAAATACAGTACATTTGAATTACAGGTGCATAGATGACTCGGTACCGTGCAAGGTAAAACAAATAAATAATAATCATGGGGAGGTGGGGTTAATATTGTGGTCCGAAGCATTCAATTAACAAATTAATTGTATATGTATTTGCTAGCAAGCGTTGTGCTTGTGCTGTTTATTTTTCATTTTGTCTCGTTATTCATTAGTTGTGCATCCCCTGCACTTTAGATGCCCTTAAGCAAGGTTGTACTGGGTGGGCAGGCGGGTATTGCAAAATTCAATTTGTTCTAATTGGCTTCTTGAGTCTACGCATGTATAATGTTGAGGGTTTCGTACTTGTGTAGCTACAGCAAATGCACAGAGCAGGATTACCGAGAAGGAATGGGACTAAATTGTGCAGACATGGCATTATATAGTGTTTTTCCTCTTTTCCAAAAAAAAGAAGAACAAAAGATGAGTAGTTTTGTGAAATTTTACTGAAGTAACAAACGAACTAACAAACCAACAAAGAAGAAATCTAACTTAGTGACTGACACAAGTACCGGTAGAAGTTATAACAGTATGCAAAGTCTGGTCATGAATATTTGGGACGAACAATGACAGACATGACAGAGGAATGACTCATTGAGTTGGGAATGGATTACTTGTGATTGACATGTGATTGACACGTGATTGACATGTGATCAACTTATGATTGACTTGTGATTAACTTGCGATTGACATGTGACTGACACGTGATTGACTTTTGATCAATCTGTGCTTGACTTGTAATTGGAATGCTATCAACTTGTGATTGACATGTGATCAACTTGATCGCCCACTGTTCAACTCTTTTTTAGTTTGTGAATGACTTGCGTTAACTTTGTGATCAACTTGTGATCACTTTTTTCTTAATCTGTAATTGACTTGTGATGGACTCGACTAGTGATTAATATGTGGTGGGGAATGGCAACTCTTCTACATCAAAGGATCTGGCATCACTATCCTACCTGTAGGTTGATGTGGAATGTATCCGACTTGAGCGTGCCCGTTATCGAGTTGATGTGAATGTACATGCCATCAACGACCTTCTCAGCAAACCCATACCTACTCACAGGTCTGCCAAAAACAAACATGTAAAAGCTTGAGCTGAAGTCAAGTAACGAATAAGAACATGTCAATCCTAGATTTGGGAAAGGTGGAGGGGGGAGAGAGGAGGAGGAGAAACCTCCCTGTTTAATCTTTCTTTAACCCTAACCAAACTCAACCCATCAAAGTTCAACAGCAGGTTTTGTTTAAATCTGTTGGGATAGGTACAGTACCCCTAAACTGATGGTCTTTTGACTGGGGTTGGCATACCTCCGGAAACTAAATCCAACAGTGTGTGTGTACAATTTGTGGGTGTTGGAATTTGCCAGAATGGGTATGGTTCCTAGTAAATTTCGCTGGGGAGTAAGGGTTAATCGGCACACAACGTATTCCCTCAGTGCAGAGCCTTTATGAATTTGTAGACTACCGGTATATATAATTTCTAGTGGACAAGAAAGACATAAAAATTGTTTTGTTTTTGCAGGTCCCAGAGGACCATTCTAGAGTCCTCTTTGCTCGTATCTCACTGACTGATTGACCGACTCCAACAAACGGAAGTTCGACTCCATCACTCCTGAACTTATCAAATTACACTGGCTTCCAATCACACAAAGAATCAACGTGGTTTTTCCAGCATTTTCGAATACAAAACTTCAAACATGTCAGTGTAACAATATTGATCTATGATACTAACCCATCATGTAGTTCATTTCTGAAAATTACAGCAAAAGCCAATGATGTGCGTTCCCTTTAAAGGCGTGCGCGCATTTTGGTTACCCTGCTGGTAGAGAAGCCTCAGGTGCATGCGTACTACCTGAGCCCGTCTCACCTGAGCCTGGAGCCACCTCCAAAAATGGCTGGAGCCGGAGTAGTCTACAAGATTACCCAGTTCTGTAGACAACATGCATGCAAAAACTTCAATTTTGAACAAAAAAAGAGTTTTATGACTCTTCGCAAGCCTTGTTTTAAGTCTTGTTCTTGTGAGTGCTACCAACAAATCAAATACAAAGTTGTCGATAATCCACACTCACACTTGCTTTGCCGTGTCTTGCAGCGTGTCGACCGTTTCCCGTAGAGTCCGACATGTGGCCATTTCCAGCTCCACCTGGTCCAGATACTGCAGGTGTAAATGAAGCAGAAACATATATATGAGGATCAAGCTGTTCTTATGAATCAGATTAAAGGGACACTAGGCCCTGAAATCCAAGAAAATGTTATGTTTTGGAATGTTTACTTATCCTATTTCAAACATCTGGTTGAAAGGAAACCAACCTAATGTCTTACCGTTCCCAAGAAAAGACGAAAAAAAACCCGCTTGTTTACATCGGACATTTATAACTGAGTACAGGTACATTTCTCATGTCGTTCTCAGTGTACGATATACACATTGTGTGTCTCGGGAACAGCGGCGACCAATCACCAATGCAAAAAATATGGTTTCTTCAACGTCCGCAAAAGGCGAGCACTTTACGAATCACAACTAGCACCCAAACAGCTCGAATTTATGGGGTCGCAAAAGTGGACCCCGAAATTCGTTCTCGCACGCATAATACAGGAATAACACAAAAACGCCCAGTTTTGAAAGGATAGCTTAGTTGTGTGGATGTTTATATCCTACTTTTAATGATATTTCCGATTTAACATCATCTCGTTCAAAGCGCGTTTTGCAACCCAATTGGGCTGTTCCGGGACCTAGTGTCCCTTTCAATGCATTTATGGTAAATAGCACTACGTATTTAATAAGGAGAGTTTTAATATTGAACTTTAAGAAATGCTGTAGACCTGAAATGAAGTGGGATACATGAAGCACCTAGCGCAGGGGTGTGGCAGACTCTCGCGTTAGCGACTATGTGTATGATGGGTGTGGTAGACTAGACAGAGTGGCGTGGTAGACTAGACAGAGTGGCGTGGCAGACTTAAATTAGAGGGTTGGGAAGACATGGCAGATTGGCGTGTCAGATTTCAAATTTAGAGGGGCTCGGAGACTATGCAGAGGGGCGTGGTGGACTACAATGTATGCAGAGGTGCAAGGCAGACTTGAAATAGAGTGTTTATGCAGGGGGGCGTGGCAGACTTGAAATAGAATGTTTATGCAGGGGGCGTGGCAGACTTGAAATAGAGTGTTTATGCAGGGAGCGTGGCAGACTTGAAATAGAGTGTTTATGCAGGGGGCGTGGCAGACTTGAAATAGAATGTTTATGCAGGGGGGCGTGGCAGACTTGAAATAGAATGTTTATGCAGGGGGGCGTGGCAGACTTGAAATAGAGTGTTTATGCAGGGGGCGTGGCAGACTTGATATAGAGTATTTTATGCAGGGGGCGTGGCAGACTTGAAATAGAGTATTTTATGCAGGGGGCGTGGCAGGCTTGAAATAGAGTATTTTATGCAGGGGGCGTGGCATACTTGAAATAGAGTGTTTTATGCAGGGGGCGTGGCAGACTTGATAAAGAGGGTTTGGCAGATTATGCTGCCCAGTGTGGCAGACTATGTAGAGGGGCGTGGCAGACTTTAAAAGAAAGGGGGAGAGCGCTTTGTTGAGGGGTGTAACAGATTAAAATAGAGGGTTGGGCAGACTACGCAGAGGGGCATTAAAAATACATGTACATGTTGGTGATCCAGTCATTTCAAATGTAATTAGGACTAACCAATAACATGCAAAAGCACTTTAATTATAGTGCTACGTTTTGTAGCTACATGTAGTTGAATCCCTTTACTTACAATGCAGATTGGATGTGTTTTCAACTTGGTCCAGGGAATCTAAGAAAAAAAAACACACCAGAAATGTGTACATGTATCAGAAACACATCACTACAGTTTTAAAATACTATTTCTATCACACTTCACTGAAACTGTATCCCTTAAAACTGCAATGGCATGAATGATATTGTATACTATTGGTGTATGTGTGTACATGTACATTGTATGTAAATTAAATTTAATGTACTGAAACGAGGCACAAAAACGCCCTTCACTGTACATGATGAAAAACAATAAAGGCATTATCAAAATCATCAGCAGACGAAATCAATGAACGCAGAAGCCTGAACACGTCTATTTATACATTGTGCACATGCAATATACACATGTACATGTACACGTACATGGACATGTACATGGACATGATGTACCTGTACCCCAGTCATGCCAGTGCATGTAGTGTTGATCTTGTACTGTACTTGTATACTTAGTCATAATAATAGGCCTATGTGTACACAAAGTATAATGTATACTTAGTCATAATGCATAGTAAATTTAGCAAGGGTGAATGTGTCTATGTAATGGATGTACAATGTATATTACATGTATGTACATCAACTGATCCACAGGCATTTGAGTACACATTGTGCCTATCGGCATATATGCACATGTACATTGCAGTATCAATTTTATTGATTCATTCACCCACACAACCTGTGTAGATTTGAGCTTGGATGAATAATATTCAGATGTCTGTACAGTATACATGTACTGTGTAACCATGTACATGTGTGCATGGTCAATGGGGCTTTGTAACAACTGTACACTGAAAGTGGGACATATTAGATGTCCACCCCACCACACCCCCTCCCCAACAACTTGTCAAATTATAAAACAACCACTTGATATCAATCTAACCGGTCACAGGTCATCAGTTCTGGAGTGCCTCAGTCCAATGACTACATTGTTTGCATCCTGTGCCCTGGTACATGTAGGCCTATGTGGGTTGATAGGAACATGGTGCTTGTGTTCTTGGGCAAGACACTTTACCACAATTGCCTCTCTCCATCGAGTAGGCCTACATGTATATGTACTGGTACATGTTTGTAAATGGGTACCCGCAAGGGTACGTCCCAGTGAGCTGCTGCAGAAAATGGGTCTCACGACCTGATGTCGAACAGGGTAATAATTGTGAAGTTCTTTAGGACTTTCGAATGCACTGCATTATTTTAAAGAGGTTGTGGAATGCTCGAAGACATTTCCGTCATTTTTCGGGTACCTAGCCTATATGTAGCCTAAGGTGTGATGAAATAAAAACGACTATTGTTTCTGTCATAAAATGGGTACAAAAGGTATTTTTGAGAGCTGTTTTTCAAGTCCTGTCATGCCTGTTTCGACCCGAACGTGCAATTTCTGTAAAAGTCGTCGTTGCGGGCAGCAAACAAAACACAGTAAATCGTGACGTAATAAACAGGACTCCCGATGCAGAGTAGCATAAACGAGTCCTGTTTATTACGTCACAATTTACTGTGTTTTGTTTGCTGCCCGCAACGACGACTTTTACACAAATTGCACGTTCGGGTCGAAACAGGACCTGAAAAATAGCTCTCAAAAGTACCCTTTGTACTCATTTCATGACAGAAACAATAGTCGTTTTTATTTCATCACACCTTAGTCTACATATACCCCAAAAATGACGGAAATGTCTTCGAGCATTCCACAACCTCTTTAACAAAGTGGCTATTTTTACGCTAACTGTTTTTCAAAGGCTACAGTTATGGAATTGCAACATATTTTATAGAGAACTTAAATGAGGTTTAATATCTACATTGATTGAAGCACTTCGGTAGCTACGATCAATTTGTATTTTTAATACAGACGAGTTCAAGGCCCAGAGATAATTCCCAAAAGTATGTACATGCACTCATGCATGTCATGTATTGTCTCACTTTATTGTTTTACATTAAATCAAATCCTATATCTGTAGCTGATTCTTCTAGCAGACCCATGGCTCTGAAGAATTTTTTCAAAGAGACGTCATGTTCAAGAACCAATTGAGTGATTACTGCATGATGCCTATGTACATTGTACGTGCAATGGTTGACTTCAGAGAAAAAATAGCAACAACATTATGTTTCTCATTAGACAAAATGTTGGAGAAATTGGCACAGCTACAACTCTCATACTGTGTACGAGAATCCCAAAACTTGAAAGCATGACATTTAAGGCCAAATAAAAAAAAGCGTGTTTCTCGTACAGGTTTTTGAAAAAAGGATGAAGAGGGGATTTTTATTTTTATTTTTTTTCAAGATGGCCGTCATTTTAAAATTTCCTGCAACCGTTGGTGTTCGCACTGTTCAAAGACACTTTTAAAATGAAAGGCAAGTTGGACAAGAGAACTGAGCAAATTTACATATACATACAATACAGATTCAGTTAGAGTTGTATTGGCCTACAATGAACAGTTTTAGATGCATTCGCTTTAACCATGGACTTTTTCAGTGTTTTTATTACTGCATTTTTCAAAAATAAAAATAATACAAAAATCCAGGTGGCCTCCAAAAAGGAAGTGGGCGGGTATAAAAAACATGTTTTTTTTTACTTCGCCTAAGATATTGAAAACATGCAACACAAGAAAATAAACTGGCACATATAACCATAGAGCAAGGACCCAAGGAGTCAGAACTCTTGGGCGATTTACATTTTGACCATTAACATACCAATCCCTCGGGAATGTCTATAGCTACAGCACTGTGACCGCAAGCCTCGACCATTCAAAGCGTGAATGCCAGCGGCCTTTGAACACGATGATCGTCGCCGCCTTTTTAGTTGGTAACCAACAACCTCCCTATATGCTGCATAATAAGTCATGTCACGTCGCTGCTCTTTTAAAAAAAAAATATTTTACGACAAGATAGGTTTTGACAACTGCGCAGTTGTTAGATGTGAGTTATGAACTGAAGTTAGCAATGTGCAGTTGTTGGTGCTTAAAAGCGTTATCTGTCCCTGTAATTTGGAGATAAATTGGATTTCTTTCAGATAAGTTTTCATGTATTTTCAGACGTTTTAATTTGCAATATATATCATTGATGAAATGTGTTTTTTTGGAAAATTTCACAACTTTTCACACTAAAGCTACAGAGCATTTTGTTCTTCATGAAATGATTGTTCCAGTGATGTTGACCATATTTATATACAGTATCATCCAACTGCAAACAAACACTTCAAAATCATTCATTTTTAGCGATGTATGACAACTGCGCAATGTGCGCATGCGTATTTACCACGGTAGGGCCTACTGTCTACGAAGCCATGCAAACTCCTTTTCTGGCATTAGTTAGCGCGGATCTCTATTGTGTCGAGATTAGCGTAGTAAGCAACTGAGCAGCTGGCTGCCAGGTGCTTTCTATTGTAGCTTTCGAGCGCGGCGACCATCATTTTACTTTCTTGGAGTACGAACTCCTTGGGTCCTTGCTCTATGATATAACAACCAGTCCAACACAGTCTCAAACTCCTTAGCACATGTACATGTAGGAAGTCAAAAGAAACATCTGGCACCCAGTCTCCATTTCTATACATTTTCTCCAAAGATTCTACATGTACCAGACTACTGTAGTCAATCTTTTCAAAAAGTTGGACAGTACCAGTCTAATCTTTGGCTTCAAACTGCAATCACTTTGCATCACTCTCAGGTGCAAAATGTTGAAGAAAAGTCTCCTTTAAAAATTGAATTGAGACCCCAAACTTGGATGGTGAATAATGAAGACCTTCTCTTTGCCTCATAAAAATTTAGGAGAATTTTGTTGGCTCAGAGTGAGTAAAGTTGGCCTGGAGCACGTTTTGGCGGCCCTTGAACTGGAACATGTTTCTGACGTCACAGCCGTGACCTGAAACATGTTTCCTGTGCACCGCGAAAATGACTGACCGGAAAATTGTTCATGACGTCATGTTACTGCCTACGTGACTGCACAACCCCCCAAAAACATCACGCAGCGACCGGACATGATTAACAATAACATTCAAAGCAGAAGTGGGAGGTTTTTTTTATAGCGTTTCCCCTAGAGTTCTAAAAAGAGTAGGCCTGATATTCTGTATCAACTTTCGTACCAATTGAAGGTAAAAACCCACTATTTAAACCCCATTTATGGTAAAAAGTAACGTCGTCTGCTAAGCTTGTATACCTTTCCGCCATCTTGAAATGTAGGTGAACTGACCGGAAACTTTGGTTCAATTTTGGTCGCAACAATGACGTCATTTCAGTGTAACCGAAGCGCCAAAACGGCCGCGAACCAGAAACATGTTTACGGTCACAGCGCCAAAACGTGCTCCTGATTTGGTTCTGCATGTTTTTCTGCACTCCGGGTCCCAGTCTGGTCAATATCCTACCTTGACGGAGAGTTTGTTGCACACCGCTTTGTTGAGTACCAGCCAGGACGGGAATTCTAGAACCTCCATCAGAGCATCCTCATCAAGCTCCAAGTCCGACAGATTCCCCTCGCCTTTGAGCGTGCTCAGACGGATCCTATCCTGCGACAGGTTCTTGGCAAATCTGGAATATTCAATTGAATTGAAAAAAAAAAAAAAAAAAAATGAAAGCGTGGTCTTCAACTGTATTCTAGTTTGAGAAAAATCAAATTAGTCTAACTTATTTATTAGTCATTGGTGTGTTTTGTTGAACAAATCGTTATGTCCGTGCAACAAGATCATACATGTATCTTGTAAAATGGCGTGTGACGTCATGTACGTGACTGACAATACACTTTTGTTCAATTGACTAAATCTTTAGATAACAATTATTTGCCCACTTGATAACATTGTTGCATTACCCAGGCCCTGTACTAAGAAAATAATGAAGGGCAGGTTTTAATTGCTATCATGTATACTTTTATCATGTTTATGGAAAAAATTCACCGTTTTTTGTGGCTGACATTACACTAAGCCTAAGGTAATTTTCCAAAAAATAAACTCCGAGAGTGGTTATTTTCACACATACATTTTTTGTAAATAACTTCAAGAATATTAGATTAATGAAAATACTAAAAGAAATTACTTTTGTGTTCATACCCAGAATTTTTGGCATAAACAGAGCTTCAACTTCAAAGTGCTGTAACTTACAAAATAATTGGCTGAGAACAATGGTTTATTTATTTCAAGGCACTTCAGAATATGCCCTATCAATTGTTCATGTAGGAAAGATACCGGTATTTGAGAAAAAAAAATCATTTTGAAATGTTGACCCTCATGTCGCACTTGTGTGGAATTGCCCATATGATACGTACGCCATTAGTTTTCCCTTTATGACTTTGTAACCATCAGAGGGATGTCCTAAAAAGTGAAATTTAGCATTATTATTATTATTATTATTATTTATTCGGCCAACAAATGAACAAAAGTACAATGACAAAGCAAATAAAATATTTTCCCTAGCAGGGAAAATATTGAAGCATTTAGTTGGAAAACACTTGCTCACTCAGAATTTTTCAGACCAGTCTCAGGGTTTGTACAAATGTTGTACAACTTCAAAGGGTGTCGAGTGGCGTACCGAAACGCGAAGCGACAATCGCCCCGAAATTGACAATTGCCCCTGAAATTGACAATCGCCCTGAAATTGACAATTGCCCCGAAGGAAAGAAGTACATGTCATGCATGTGTATGCCATTTAGTTTTCCCCTTCAATGACTTTTCAACCATCCGAGAGGGATGTCCTAAAAAGTGAAATTTAGCAGTAGGCCCTAGCACTAGCACAGGGAAAATATTGAAACATTTAGTTGGAAAAGACTTAAAAATTTTTTAGACCAGTCTCAGGGTTTGGACAACTAGGCCTGACAAGTCCCATCTGCATGACCGTCAACCATAATATTCACGTATGAAAAAAACAAACACAATCACAAACACAATGACATTACGGCGATCGTGAAGTGAAGGGCCCCTGTTTTGTTTTGAGTCAAAAATGTTTTTTTATTGCTCAAAAATCACCTTTACAATCAAAAGCAGACTTTTCTCAATTCTATTTCTAATGACACCCATTTTGCAATTTCGAACAGATTCTTGGGGTAGAAATCACGATTTTCCCACGCTGTTTGTGCCTTGCGATTCAGCGCGCCGTGCGTGCTCACGGTACATCACGCGGTGATCGCCATCTTTATTTTCGGGTCGCATGTTGTCGCCGCGCTGTCATCGTCATTTTACCCCCAAATTTCCCTCAAAAAATCAAAACCCTGCCCTCTATCTATGACATACCTCTTTATTGAGAATGTCGCCAACTAGTTTGGTAGGTCCAATAATTTGAAAGTGGATTTTGTTCCCTTATCAAAAGTTATAGGAACCGGGCCCTACACTCATGACACTTGTACTTCACGATCGCCGACATTTATTTACATACACAGTCGCACAATACGCCTACGACGAGTACGACGACTGTCGTTCATCGGTTCAACTTACTTTGAGAGATGCTTGATGATTTGTCCCTTAATTATCGACGCCATCTCAACCGCCTTTTGCTTCCCTTCGAGACTCTCATCAACCCTTTATACGTCGTAAATTATCGTTTTAATTTGACAGCTTTAATCGTCCGACTTCGATGCCACACCGCACCAAGCAGCTGCCATTTTGTTTTCCATGAAGCGATAGAGGGCGCTCTTGACTTAACCATGCAACACGCATGCAGCACTTAAAGCTATAGTCCATCATTTGTAATTAGTGCATTTTATTCGTTTGAAGCAACAAAAGTGTTCAAAATATAATGAAGGATACTGAACAACTTACTTCATGAAGTTTCAGCTCAGCTTCAGCTTCATATTCCAAGAAAAACAGCATTCTAGGATCGCAATTTAAAATCAAAGGTTGCTAAATCATGTTTTGAATTGGGCCTGAATTCAGCGTCCGAGACACGTTCTCCAATGGTATACAAAAACCATACGAGTACGTATTTGATATTGACTTGAACCATTGAGCACCACTGATTTACCATTGGTACCATTCAGCACCATTCGCTTTTACCATACGAGTACCATTTGCTAGTGTTTCAACCATCGAACACTGACCATTGGTAGGCCTACGTACACCACTCAACACCAAAGGTTATAAACCATACGTCGATCGAGTACCATTTGATATTGACTTGAACCATTGAGCACCACTGATTTACCATTGGTACCAGTCAGCACCATACGGTTTTACCATACGAGTACCGTTTGCTAGTGTTTCAACCAACGAGCACTGACCATTGGTAGGCCTACCACTCAACACCAAAGGTTATAAACCATACGTCGATCGAGTACCATTTGATATTGACTTGAACAATTGAGCACGTACCACTGATTTACCATTGGTACCTTTCAACACCATTCGGTTTTTGGCATGCAATACCATACGAGTACCGTTTGCTAGTGTTTCAACCATCGAGCACTGACCATTGGTAGGCCTACCACTCAACACCAAAGGTTATAAACCATACGTCGATCGAGTACCATTTGATATTGACTTGAACAATTGAGCACGTACCACTGATGTACCATTGGTACCTTTCAACACCATTCGGTTTTTGGCATGCAATACCATACGAGTACCGTTTGCTAGTGTTTCAACCAACGAGCACTGACCATTGGTAGGCCTACCACTCAACACCAAAGGTTATAAACCATTCGTCGATCGAGTACCAGTTTGATATTGACTTGAACCATTGAGCACGTACCACTGATTTACCATTGGTACCAGTCAGCACCATTCGGTTTTACCATACGAGTACCATACTGCTAGTGTTTCAACCATCGAGCACTGACCATTGGTAGGCCTATCACTCAACACCAAGGTTATACCATACGTCGATCGAGTACCATTTGATATTGACTTGAACCATTGAGCACGTACCACCGATTTACCATATTGGTACCATTCAGCACCATTTGGTTTTCATGCAATACCATACGGGTACCATTTGTTAGTGTTTCGACCATTGAGCATCATGGAATTACCATCGGATACCATTGGTTATGTTTGGTTACCATATAACACTGGTTTACCATATGAAACCATACAGACCAGCATTTGTTAACCATTATAGTATACCAACGATTTTACCGTTCAAAACGATTCAGTCACAATGGTCACCATTGGTTACCATTGTAATACCATTGACTTTTTTTTTGGTAAAAGGGGTGTGGCAGATGCACGGGGGGGGGGGGGGGGGGGGTATAGATTGCCACTTCTGAGCCCGGCGGCCCACACAGTACGTCTGAGACTCCGCGCGGTAGTGGTTCTATTCTGTGTCTCCTGGGTACTGCAACAGCATCATTGCAACGCGTAGTAAGTTGCAGGACTGGCGCGTGGTGGCTAGCGGACGCTGATGATGATGGCCCCCTTATTAAAGATGACATCTGGATGTTGCCAAGAAGTTGGTCTTGAAGAATTGAACAGTCGCGGCCTCCCTTATCAGGCAGGTGATTCCACCATACAAGGGTCCTTCAATATGAGGAAAATTTGAAGCAATCGTTTTCACGGTGCTGATCATAGATGGGTAAAAGAGATTGTTAAAAGATGTTCGTGTTGCCATTTCTTCCACGTCTGTTTTTGTTCATCAAGTTACCTGCATTTGAATTTTTTGGTGTCATGTCCACTTTGGTGTGGAATTGCCCGTAATAAATGGACTAGTATGACAGTGACTGGTATACATAGTTCTGCGCCACTTTTATCCCAAATTTGTGATTAGTCCGACGGAAGTTTAATGCATGCAAATCTTGCCGCTCTCGGCTGTAATTCCAGCCTGTTTTTTGTATTCTTGATGATATTGTAACGTCGGTGCCGGGCCGCCGGCAGAGGGCACCAGCACGGACTCCATCGCAGTGCAACCGTAGCGTCGGGACCCCTGTGCTCGGCCAGGGAGACCCGTTGCCAGCCTACGCCGACTCAGTAGTGTGACATTTTCAGGGTAACCGTTTTAACCGATTTTCAGCTAACTTTGACAGATTTTTTGTTAAAAGACAAGTTTGACAGAAAATTTGACAGAATGGATTTTTTAGGCAGATTTCTGGCAGAATTCTGCAGAAATGGTTATTTGTGTACATGCGTGTTACTTTGTGAAAATGAAAATCACTCGGTTCTGTAAAATACGCATGCGCAGCGAGCAGATCAAGTCCGTGGGTGATACTTCGTAGTGTCACTGACAATAGGCGTTAAGACATAGCTTGAAGTGGGTATTTTTATTGTCCGTTTCCTAAACTGGTCCCTTTGGGAAATGTATGGGGTTTTGTAGAAGGGGGGGGGGAGGTTTTCAACTTTCACCAACATTTGAATTAAACTAGAAAATCTGATATTAATTGGTTCTTCAGAATTTTATTCCTCCCTCGAAATATTTTGAGAGAACAGTTCGTACGGAATTTTACAAACCTTCATTTTGTTACAAAAATATTGACATTCAGACTTCATCAACCACTGACTTTTTTTTTTACTGCAGATCATTTTTTAATACATATTTATGAAGTCGTGGCGGACACTGACATAGATTTAAATCTGATCATAATCGCTGTCTTTGTTGAATGTATTTTCGACCCTGCGTATTAGTTAATCACAGTTGAAAAGCCTACATTATTTCATATCATGCAATGCTGCTAAGCTTTTAGTGTTATAGCATATAAATACTTTTTAATTTCAAGAATCCAAAGTAGTCAAGGTAAGCATCCCAGCACCTCGAACCGCAGATTAACGTCGCTGTTCCACGCAGTAGGTTCAATGCGTACTACCGTTGCCACCACACTCTCGTTAAACAGGTTGGTGACGAGGGTGACCCCATCAGTGTTACCGTTAAAGATCTGAAGTGGAAAAAAAGTACAACCCAAATTTTGTAAATCAGGAAAACTCATGCAACAGCTTTAAAATGAAACTGGCGGTACAGGCGGTACAGGCGAAGGAAAAGGTATACAGGCGTACATAAATTCGATTAATCTGATCAGGGCGTCCGACATTTTTAGATGGAATTAGTGATTTTAGATTTAAAGAACCATAAACGACGGGCAGTAACGAATGTATATTTAATTATCTGACAATTGTGGCGCTTTTACAAAGCTGAGGTACAGAGCGCCACCAGGCGTTTTCCTTCAAGAAGCAACGGTCGAATTAAGGCCGACGTTATTGCGTACTTATAAGTATTTCAGATTTGTATTTTTATAAACCAATTGATGCAAGTGCAATAAGGTGTATACCTTGATATCTCCGTTTCCATCCGTCACGTGTTCATAGTTGGACGAGGACAGCTTCTGATACGCCACCTTGTATTGCGTCACGTACCATTGGTTAAAACCTTGTGTGGTGACGCCCAACACCACTGTACTATTAACGAGGTCCACCTCGATCCAGGAATCTGCGGACCTAGGGACGAGTAAATGTTGAAGAGGAATGAGGAACAAAATGAGAATATCAGTTGAAGTCAGGCTCTTCTTTCAGTTGCAATGTATGAAACAACCCAATAGTAGCTGCAACATTTGTTATATGCCATATCGCTTGGCCCGTGGTGGTGACGAGGGACCAATGTACGAGTTTACGATACAACTTTAAAAATTATGTGAGGTCATCTTAACAAACAAGCAAATGCACATAGAGGTACCCATAAAAAGCTAACATACACTTAAGTCATTACTGAAACGTTTTCAGAACGAGCTTGCTTAGATTTCGCAATAATGTGACTCACTATAAAGTGCGCCATCCAGCGTTTGTTTCGGGAATGCCACTTTTGAACTTCCCAGCCAACATCGAATCCCTTTACCGCACTGTGATCTCTAGACTTACTGGACTGTTGGCTAATAGTGTCACGAGTATATTCAATGGGCAAGTTCTTGTGCAAAACAAACCAAAATACAGTTTTGTGCGCGGCGGCTGCGGCTGTCGACCTTTTCGCCAAAACAAAATGGCCGTGGCGCCTACATTCTGAATCGCTCCTGCTGCACGCTGGTCTTTTCCCGTTGTACTCTCTCATAAACTTATCTCACGCGCTTATAGCGCATTACAGTCCATAGAGATTGCATCAGGATGCTAGACGCGGAGTGTCATGTGGTGATGTTATTTTCCCCCTTTGATACGTACCTTTTGGGTTCCCATCCACCATTTTCAAGGTTGAGACGTCCATCCTCAGCCGGGCAACAGTTAGAACTACCGCTCGCCCTGATGCGATCGCTAGGAATGGTTCCGTCTTCAAGACCTAGGGGCTCCGGACTCATACACGCTGTAAGTGCAAAACAAGCAAACGATAACTTATTTTGTTAACTTCGTGTGGTTGGATACTGTAAGCTCATTGGTCTAGAACGGACACGTGTCTGTTGTCCGATAAAAACGTCCGCATGTCACCCATCGATCCCCATTATACATGTAGTAAGACTGGATTGGACATGCGTGTACTGTATTTAGGCGCAGTGAAGATTCGGAAAATGCATATATAATAGATGTTCGCATCCATTGCCTAGATTGATTACAAATTGATCCGGCCAAAAAACAAGTGTGGTGATGACTCATTTCTGTTCACTTATGGGGCGGTATGCACACACTAAAAAGAACACACTCTTCCTGTTGAATCACCACAAAGTTTGAAATCAATATTACACAGCTGAGTTCACAGTCATGGACATAATGTGCACGAGACTTTCAGTGGTCCGTGCGAATATCCACTTTGTTTCCCAAAGTAAATTTATTTGCACTCACCGGAATCCACGCTTGTGTTTGTACCAATGTTTTGACCAGCTGGGGTAGGTGTCTTTCCCGTGGTAGTATCACCAGCTGGAGTAGGTTCCTTTTCCGTGGTAGTATGGCCGGCTGGGGTAGGTTCCTTTGCCATGGTAGTATGGTCAGCTGGGGTAGGTTCCTTTGCCATGGTAGTATGACCAGCTGTGGTAGGTTCCTTTCCCATGGTAGTATGACCGGCTGGGGTAGGTTCCTCTCCCACCGTAGTATGACCAGCTTGGGTAGGTTCCCTCCTTCCCGGGCAACGCTCCCGTATCTCTTGCATGACTTGCTTCATCCAGTCATCCGGATTATCAGTATCAGGCTCCGGTGGATGACCGAAGTAACATACTCTCTGCTTGCCCTCCACACCACCCGAGAGCACTTTCGATAAAGAAAATTAACGTTCATTTATAGCTGGATGTTTAATCAGGTCAGTCAAAACTTAGCGACTAACTTTTTTTCTCAAAAATATCAAATCAAATTCCTTTTTAAAATTCATTGCCTTTGGATTTTCACAGTATGCATATACGTACTTTAGTCTACCTACCGTTTGTAGAAAGTAAGGCCGGCCTGCCCAGACATCCACTAAAACTTATCCACAACATTAACCTATATATGTTAGGGTCTATACCAACAACTACAATAACCATATCTTTCTAAATGCATGTGAGCTATCGTAAAACATAATGTGCATGCAATATTTACAGATTCGTGCGATGCAATACAGACACTTCTTGTATGTGCGAAATGATTTAGCGAGTTCCACAGAGGATAGATGGTCACAAAGCTATGGGTAATGGTGGCCCGATCAGCTGGTTTGCGATTTGTCAACCCCGAGCAGAAAAGCTATGGACAATAATAATAATAATAATAATAATAATAGTGGAAATTTATAAAGCGCACGTATCCACCAGGACTGGTGCTCAAGGCGCTACATCATTATTACCCCTGCTTATTGGGCACATTAAACATTCCAAATACCATCTCAGCTCCCTGGGGAGTAAACAGCTCGATGCAGCCTGTTAGGCGCAAGGAAGCTAATTCAATCACAATAACCATCTCTGCCCTCACAGGTACCCATTTACTCCTGGGTGGAGAGAAGCAATGAGTGACAAAGGGCCTTGCCCAAGGGCACACGCACCATGACCCCGCCAGGACTCGAACCCACAACCTGCAGCTTTACCCGCAGACCACGAATCAGTGCCCTTAACCACGAGGCCACAGTACTCCACAATATAAAAGCCATGGGCAAAAAGATTACCGTTTCAAAGGTTCACGAATGTTGTACCAACTTGAGAACAATGAGTGTGTTCCACTTCAGTTTTTACCCTCAATGACTTTGAACTCAATCATGGCGCAAGACCTGTCGTTCGAGCGGGAAGTAAATGAAACTATGACAACGTAGGCGGGTCGTGTTCTCAGACTAGCCCGACTGTCTCATTCGATTACAGCTTCAATGAACGACTTCTCGAGTGTTAGTAAAAATTGAAATATATTTGGCCTACGTACCTGTAAGTACTGATACCATTAGAATCCAAGCTACTGCTCCGCCCATTGTCACAGATGCAATGACTGAGAATTAGTTTGATCTTATTAACCGTGTACGCAAACCACACGGATTCGCCTCATCAACTACGCAGACCAATGACAGAACAGACCGACGCGTTAAAATAGAAGGTTGTGTTAGCTATATAAGGCTTGTGCTCGATATCTAATAAGTGGTGTAGAGGCAGCTAAAGGCTGCTATTGATTCCTGAAACCTCGAATTTAACGAGCTCCTTGGCCGCAGACGTCGGTTTTCAGGAATTAATTCTTACCTGCAACGATTGTCTTTGATATTGCAGAAATCGATGAGAGGCAGTAGAGCACACTCCTTTTGAATAACCTTCTACATTTAACAACCACGTTCACCACGTAAACAAATAATGAAGCCTGGACCACACGGGACTTGATGTCAATTAAGTCCCTTAACAGATCCGTTCTTTGTTTATCCCCGCCGCTAATTTGGAAAATGAGTTTCAAGGTAGTCGCTTATTAAAGAATCGATACGGTGCTCCATTGCACTCCACCCCTAAATAAACACCTAAACCATACACAAGGATTGAAGCAAGGACACTTTGATACTGTTAAACGCTTGTGGTAGTAGTGGCTGCCATTCCAGTCGAATACGACGATGTCAGCTTGGTGCTTAACCGCACGACGATTCTCATCAATATAAGCAGCAGAAGAAGCAGAGCGGCCAAGGTGTGGACAGCAGATCACTATAATGAGCACGGTCTGGCACCAAGGTCTGCAAGGAGGGAACTGAAATTTCAATAGCCTTAAGATCGACCACGAATTGTTGGACGTAAACGCAAGGCCACATACATGTTGCAATGAAGATTGCAATAAGCAGCAGTAGGCCTATAAAAGCTGGCAATTTTGTTAAAATGGAAGAAAACGGAAATCGGTTGGAGATGTTTATGTAGACAAAAGTTAGAACGCCCCTAACTGAAAACAGCCTGTAATAAATTTCTGAATCACAGAAAAAAATACCAAAATTGTTTTATTAATAACGTTCAGTTGCGAAGTGATTGTTTATGGTTTGCGAGACAAGCAGTCTTTTTGAAGTGGTGAAACTTGAGACAAGCCTAACTTTTTGTTTATCGCATTACACCTGGATTGTATAGTCTTCGTGCGATTCAATATAGTCCCATGTTGTACTCGATTTATTTCATTTGAACTATTATTCTGCAGAACAAGAGCTATCCAATGGTATATAACATTTAGGGGTACTGGGTGCAACGGAAATATAGACCACTAACTTACTTGAAGTTGTAAAACTGATTGCCGAGAAAATACTTAAATATCCTGCAGTTGCGTTACAGTGAGTGAACAGTGACCTATTGAAATGGGATGAAAATAGGTTATAGAGATGTTTGACAGAACAAAACGATTGGTAATGGTAGAAAGGTAAAAGAGGACTTACTTAAAGATCAAGGTTTCCCTGGAAACAAATATTGACCACCCTTTCAAATTTTGGCTTTGCCCAATAATTAACGCTGTGTACTGCAAAATGCCAATTTCCGCCTTTAAGCTCATTTGGTGGTGACAGGCTGCCATGTTTTTTTTTCTGCAGCGCACATCGTCAACGGATCATGATTATTCAGCTAGTTCGATGTTTATTCATAAGAAAATAACAATGACGTCACATCATTGCTATTACTCAGTCATGCATGTACATTAAAGCATTTCAAAGAGTGGCCTAGTGGATAGTGGAACGAACTATGAATCGCAAGATCTGTGGTTCGAACCCATGTCCATTTTAATCAATTTTTTTGTCGGCTTGGGGATAAGTTTAATTGTTTAATTGAAGGGAAAACACTACGAGAACCTAAGGTGTCTTCGATCTACACAGCATGATAAATTTTCATGTTAGGATGCGCGATTTGATTTGTTAAAATAGGATGTATGATGCAAAAACAATACGCTGACAGGCCACATTATGTTCTGTTTTCAATCAGACTTAGGCCTCAACATCTTTCTTTTTGGGCACCCGATCCCATAGACTTTGTACATGTTTTATTCTGACTGGCAATTTTGACATAACATAAAGTCATATTCCCATAAAACATGACTTAGACCCCATATAGTGACCCCATAGTGAACTTGTATCTGGTAGAGTGAATTCATGATGACGTAATTATGGGTCATGTGACGTCATGTTAGAAATACATATTTTAAGATCCTATATCTAGAGAACTGTAAATCTGGTTAAGTTGAAACTTGGTACGAAGGTAAACAAGGATGTATAAAGGGCAAACATTGAGGTAATGTCATAATGAAGTCTTCATATGATATGTTTCTTTTAAGTTTTCGGACCTTTAAGCCATATCTCATCAACGGAATATGCTGAATTCAAAATCATTTTATTACAGGTTTGTTAGGTCATAGATATTTGCAAAAAAAAAGGGGGGGGGGACGTATGACGTCATCAAAATGCGATATTTCAAAACATATATAAGGGTATACGTCCGATCGTCATGAAACCTGGTGGATAGGTAGATACTGTTACTTCTATTCAAAATCCAAAATAAAATCATGATGACGTCATCAACTGATATTTTGTTAATAAATTTAAAAACGTTTGCCTTTTTTTGTACTAGCACAATAGCGCGCCAATAATGCGACTAAAAAAAGGCAGCGAAAATACGCTATTGTCTGAAAAACAACAACCATAGGCCCACTATGCATGGTTAGACCCACTTCTGGTGAGTCATTATTAGTTATACTGGCTATTATTATAGTCGTACTGGTGGTGAATTCATTAGTTATATGTGGGTGAATCATTTTCAGTTTTATATACGGTGCTCTAGCATTATATTAATTCGTCAATATTGACGACTTCGGCACGTTGATTAAATGTGGCGGTAATATTTAGTTTGGGTAAAAAACAAGTCGCTAACGTGGGAGCATGCGCGTTTACCACTTCATTTACCAGCGTAACTCCCGCCCACACTGTACCTGATCCAAATCAAAACATCAAAACAAAAATTGCGACACTCTTCAGAAGTCCGCAGTTCTTCCTGTCTGCGGCTGCCTACGGCGTCTGCCATTCAGTGGTCAGTGTAGCTACGAATATGGTTTGGTTATATTCGATGATCCACAATCATTATAATGGATTCGCATTCACTGCATCTAGCAAGATGGATGGAGCATTCGCGTGCATTCTGGTGGTGTCAACGTTTATAGGTAATACATTTTAAGCTTCATTGAAAATGTTGATCTTTGAGTAATTTTTGCATACGACTTTTTTTGTTTCATAGATCAGACAATGTACGTTGGCCCCACTGATCTCTATATAAAGACGGGATAGCGGATATACATACAACATTCACACAGTAGACTTTGCATATTGACCAATTCGCCCCCGGTCTCACGAAGATGGCCGCGTATAATAGACCGCTTGCAGACGCGATCGATAATTGACGCGCCAAGGTGCACGACGCCATGTTATGGAACAAAATGTGCATGGATAGATATGCGCCTGTCCCACAACATGGCGTCGCGCGCCTTCGCGCGTCGATTATCGAACGCGTCTGCAAGCGGTCTATACGAACGTTCTACGCGTTAATACGCGCGCGTTTTATCAACAGTTGACGCGCATTTTGGCCACGTACACATATTATGATGTTCTAAAAGGGACACATTTCCGTAGTGATTATTATTTCAAAACGCCGAAAAAGTGATATTTGCGGCATTTTAGTAACCACGACATTAGAAAAATTGTAGTTAACCTTGGTCAGTGGTGGTGGTCAAAATATAAGTCAAGTGAACCGCGACGTTACAAAAGAAATCATGCTGTCTATAAAAACGGCAACTTGTCCTTTGTAGATCACCAGCCGGTCTCACAAATATGGCGTCAAATTCATTCATTGTGCGGCTCTTTATTAGCTATCCAGTCTTTATATAGAGATCAGTGGTTGGCCCCCGTCATAAAAAGAGACATTGGACGTTCAAATGTTGAGTTTACTAGTTTAGGGTTTAACGAAATCGAGAGACCACAGATATTTAAATCAACCATATTAAGTTGTGTGCAGACATCGGAAAAAATGCCAACGTCTGTGCAGGGGCGTAACTAGGGTAACAAATCTGCAGGGGCACCTGGGATGCATACATTTTTCAAAGCGGTGGCACTGAAGGCAAGTGATATATATTTTTGTTCAGTGAAAGATTTTTAAAAGGGAGGGGCCCACAGGGGGCGGGTGGAAGGGGGGGGGGGGCTGGTGGCGGGGCACGTAATTAAGTCACTGAATCCGTGTATGGTAGGTGGCAAGTAAACATTTTGTAATGTCAAGTAAAGAAATATTGAATGAATATAAAAGGCCTTCCTAGGCTCAAATTGGCTAGAAATAGCTGATATCCTGAAATCGGTAATTATTTACTATAACAGCATCTCCTCAAAGTACGTTTCAGTGCATCATAGAAAGTACCAAAATTTGCATCCGTTTTTTTTTAAAGGTAACGAGATATTTCTACAACATTGTTTTAAAATGAGAACCATTGTCGACAGTTTACGATATCATTTTTTTCCACATTTTACAGTGCTTGTATCATCTATGAAATGTCATCAAGTTTGCTACATCGGATCGGAGTACGACCCACAACCTCGTACCTCACCCCGTTGGTTCTTATCGCACGAAGATCCGTGCGAATGTACTTCTATACGTCTCGGTGGGATGCGCATCCCTGCTTCGGCATACCGCCAGGGGGCGCCCCGTTATCTGGATAAGCTGATCGTCACTGAGGACCTTGCTGAAATACAGACGTTCTTCAGTTGTAAAGGTATGGATGGATTTTTTTTGTGCCTGTATGTATTCAGAAAACTATACTAAAAAACAAAACCTTCAATTTGTATTGAGCTATGAGCTTGACAATATTTAATACACAACTCTGAATCGCGCAGCTTTTTCAATCGACTCTACTTCATAAGACAAATGGAATATCATGTTTTCTGATAAAATCAATCTTTCAAATATTGTTTGGTTTACTCATTAAAATAATAATTACCTAATGCAAAAATGTACTTAAAACATGGCTTGGGCTTGTTTTGAAAGTTGATTCCTAGTTTCTGATAAAAACAAACAAACATGGTTTTTAATGATAAATTATTGCTAGACAACATTACGAAGGCCTACCATTTAAATAACATCTCTAACATACCCCGTTCTAAGGCACTGCCAACAGCGACAACGCGTATATCTGACAGCTCAGCTCGTCACTTATTTAGAACGTAGAAATAAGGGTTTGTTGGCCTTTGTTTTGAAATCAACGGTGCTCGGTCATCCGTGACTGAAGTGAGGCAAATAAGCTTAGGAACTGCTCTTTAAGATGGAACCACTTTGACAGTGTTCAGGTACATGAAGTTTTCATATCAAAATAGTGGTGCACACGGGGGGGGGGGGGGCTCGGGAAGCTTGAGGCCCCCCAGAGGTTGTCAATTTTTTTGGGGTAATTTTTGTTTTTAGTCCAACGATTTGACCTTGGTGATATTTATGTGGCCTATTTTCGAGTAGTATAATAGGGGTGCAAGTGGCGCCACAAACGTCAAAATAGTCGCCCCCCCCCCCCCAACAAAAAAAACCCTTAATTTTTTTCTGCGGCCACAAATTTTGGGTAAAATTTTTGGACAAAGTTTTAACTTCTATAACATAAGCGAAGGAAACAATTGTGAGCCCCCCCCCCCCAGCCAAATCCTCGGGGTGTGCCAATGAAATCAACCCATTATTTTTGAATTACGTTATATTTATATACCCTTTATAGATAAATAACCGTGTTCTGCATGTTTATTGAGACCCCACATTTTCTCAACAACTTGACTATTTGTATAAACTATGTGTTTAACACGAGAGATGTCAGCACAAGAAAAAATCACCAAAAAAACTAAAATTATTAATTGGAGGAAAAAAGAGAGAAAACAAAGAAAGAAGAAAACAGCTAGCTATAGAGGTTATCAGCAGAATGTCATGCCAAACTGAAGCGGTAACTATTGATTATGTCTCGCAAGTCGATACGATACTTTCCTTGACTACAAAGCTAAGGCACAATAGCAGTGACAATTTTCCAACTACTTGGTCGCAGGGTTATTCAACAATTAACGGCTGCCGGTTCAGGCGAATGGTAGACTCGACGTTTTTTTCTTCTTATTTATTTTTTACTGCACCTCTCTATTGAAATATTATTGCAAGAGCTCAAATTATGTTGTGAAGGACAGTTTTCCAGTATTTTGTCCTCTTTCTTTGTAACAACGTATTTATCGACTTTAGTTTGATAAAAGAAACTTTTATTTGAAGAACAAAAATGATCAGCAATTAACGCCGATTCTTTAAATACATCTCTTTTTACGCCGTTCTTTCTTTAAATACATCTCTCTTTTTAAATATAGGTTTTCCCGGCCTATTTCACCAAGTTTTCATTCAATTTAGCGCCTGGCTCTTTCCATTTAGATTGAAATTGAAAGATCATGCAGATCGCCATTCAACAATCAAAAAGAATCATTCAGTTTCACTATCCGAGCAATCTATTGCATTTAAGCTTCACTTGTCCCTGTAAAATAGGCAAACAAATTAAAAGTATCGCGTTGTTCATTCAATTTCGTCTGAATCACTTGCAAGGGGTTGAACGTGCATTCAATTCCATTAATGGGCAAACATATTTCACATTTTGTCAAGCATGTTTAAGACTTCCTTCACGTAAAATTTTGAATTATCTCGGCGTAAATCATATTTGATGTCTTCAATCCGTAAATGCACACCTCTCTTTCTTAAAGGGGCCGTGCAATTACTTCATTTCAGGAATGCATTTTGCGCAACTTTCTACTCCCCTGAAATGTATGAAAACTATATATATATTTTGACATCCCTTAGGCCAAAAAAAAAAAGTCTCCAGTTTCTGGTATGGAGCTTGCCCCAAAAGTGGTGCGGCGACGCGGCTTTTTTTTTTTTTTTTACCTGGTTTTTTTTTTTTTGGCTTCAAATGTCGGCTGATGACTGCAAATGGTGCCCGACTAAACTTAGTGCAAATATATGAGAGTGCAAAGAGGCCACATAAAGCTTATTCTCGATCATAACCCCATCTAAAAACACGTTAAAATTGTGCAGCAGCAGAATTCCAGTCAAACCAGTGAGTTTGACGGTTTTGAGACATCATCTTGTATTCAAAAAAAAACTGTTTCATTTTGCCGACGCGCATGGCTACGGCGACGCGCACGCATACCAGAAACCGGAGACTTTTTTTTTGGCCTTATTGGTTATTTTTATTGCAAAGTGCACGTCTTTAACATGTACAAGTTTCCATGCTATTCCGAATTACTGAGCCGCTGTTGCTGTGAAGTGAGTTCAGGTAGACACTGCTCAGTTCCTCAACTGAACAGTGTCTACCTGAACACTTTTCTTTCAAATTCTTCCCCCAAAATTTGCTAATTGAAACCATTAGTGAAAAAGGATTGCTCATTAGCTTACTGACATGTACTGACACAACAAAAAATCATCAAAGAAAAGAAATTTATGACAGCAAAATATCAAAAATTCTAGCAACTTTTTGTGCTGAAATAGCCTGTTTACATTTATCTGCCTGGAATGACATCGAAGTTTTGCTCATGAATATGGAACTTTGCATCAGCATAAAAAGGGGGAAGGCACCAAAAACCACCCTTCAAAATGGAAAAATTTGAAAGTTGAAAATAAGTTTAAATGTGACACAAAGATGTGTATTCAAGGTTTGCATTAACAAATTACTTTGCATTCACCCAAGAGAAGTGTTACCGATGGTACAACCATTGCCAAACATACATGCCCCGATGTCTTGCACGTCAAGAACTCGTCAACGTTAAAAGAAGCCCCTTGATCAAACGTTTAAACACGTCGAAAAGAGATTATCTTAGCCCTTTTCATTTCATTATTTTGGTACATATTGTATCCCTCATATCAGTTAACTTGTTGCATTGTAAATTTTGCAGTCACCAAGATTTTTATGGGAAATATTAACATCGAAGCAAAATTGGAATATGTAATATTAAAACATCTTATTAATTGGAATGACCAAACAATGAAAGCGATTGCCCCAAAACGAATAAGAAACGAAAAGCATGTTAATACGCGATAAGCGCAACAACGTTCGCTAATTTGAATGAGTAAACCGACAAAAGGTAGCAATGACTTAATTTAAGAATGCTACAATGTAAGTCTTGAATGCACCAAAACGAAATAGAATGCCGCACAACGAAAACGAACACTCAGTGCAAAATCTTGGCTGCCTAAAAATTGGATGCCCCAAAATGGATGCCCCAAAATGAAATCGGATGCCCCAAAATGAAAAAAGAATCCCAATTTGATTGCATGTGCAAAACTCAAGCGAAATTGAATGGCTGATAATGAAAATGATTCGAAAAATTCGGAAATTGGCCGGGAAAACCTATAAATATTATAAATATTTATGCAAGTGCTATTCTGTAAGGGACAATTTAAAAGCCTTTTCTTCTCTCACATTCCACAAACACCAGGCGAAGCCGTGTGCGTGTTGAAAAGTAATGTTTATTTAAAAAAACGACAACATTATGTTTGTCCTTTGAATTTGATTTGGTTGCAGTGTGCACCAGCAGCTATCAACTCGAGCCCTATCAGTACAAGTTCCCATTCCCTCCCTTTGATTGTGACCATGGGTTCGTGTTGGATTTCGCCGTTCGGGCCAGTCAAGCCGCAAAGATTGCCTTGTCTGCGGATGGCACACAGGCAGGCAACAAGTATCACCTTGGTAAGGCACACGTAACGTAGTCGACTATGAAGAGAGCAGAGACCAGCGTTTTAGCAGTAGTCACGTTGCCGGTAATTGGAAATCACTCTGCTGTTCGCAATCGCGGTTTCCACATTACAGGGCGTGACGTGAACCAGCGGAATTTAATCGGCTTGTTCGCGCATGACTCGTCTCGAATTAGACTCATGTGGCCTGTCTTCGAACAGGCAATAATGTCCATAGTTGCCACGGCATTCGACTGGTACCAGCGATATGAAGAGAGCAGAGACCAGCGTTTTTTCAGTAGTCACGTTGCCGGTAATTGGAAAGCACTCTGCTGTTCGCAATCGCGGTTTCCACATTACAAGGCATGACGCGAACCAGCGGAATTTAATCGGTTTGTTCGCGCATGACTCGTCTCGAATTAGACTCATGTGGCCTGTCTTCGAACAGGCAATAATGTCCATATAGTTGCCATGGCATTCGACTGGTACCAGCGATAGCAGAGACCAGCGTTTTATCAGTAGTCACGTTGCCGGTAATTGGAAAGCACTCTGTTGTTCGCAATCGCGGTTTCCACATTACAGAGCATGACGTGAACCAGCGGAATTTAATCGGTTTGTTCGCGCATGACTCGTCTCGAATTAGACTCATGGCCTGTCTTCAAACACAGGCAATGATGTCCATGGTTGCCATGGCATTCGATAAACAAATAGTGGTAATCAAAAACATGTTTTCATTGGTCAAACCATCCCAGATTTGACATATGACTAAAATTCAAGGCCACGTGACGAATCACGATTCCAGACGAGTCCAACTATGATGATTGATATTTGGGAATCGGATATCTGGATATAACATCATGACGCAAACTTGAACAGTTTTAATTTTCGCCTTTTAGCCAAAATTTTTCCTTCTTTCGACAATTCTTGAAAAAACAAAAACAAAAAAACAAAAAAACAGGTACCTCATTTTTGCCGACTTCTGTTGAAAAAAAGTCAACATTTTGGACACAATAAAAAAGGTACTATTTTGTCCCCAACAAGAAGGTATAGCGACCTCATGGAGGTGACTTTGGATACCAACGGTACTTCGATAACATGAATATTGATACCAAAGATGTTTGCGCAAAAAAGCGCCTTATTCTTGACCAATGAGGGCGCTCTTACGACGTCATCTAGGGATATTGAACATAGGCCTCCGTAAATCCAATGTCATGGACCTATGTTAACATACTCCTACAGGTCAAAAATTAAATAATTTTAGAGGTTTTGTTTTTTAAATTGAAATAGTTAACGGACTGCTTGATCAAGCGGGATTTTAAAAGTGCTTGCACCTAGAAAACTGCGTCTTTATAGCGCCCTCATTTTCTCAAAAACATGGTCCATTATCAGTTAACGAATGTTTTTTTAAACACCCTCTTGTGGTCGCCGCGGAGCTACCAAATAACTAAAAATGGAGTCCCAGCTAACCAAAACGCCTGTTAAAATTTTCCATCAACGCTTTGGAAATTAGCATAATTGTTTTTATGTTGTTTTTTACCCATAAATTGTCAAATAGGTACACCAAAACAAAGCAACTGTGCAGAGATGGTGAAAAATTCAAAGCCGCTTTTCGCGCCAATGGCGGTGATATTAGATTCTCAGCATGCATATTTGTTGTTCGCGTGATCTATGATTTTTGTTGTTGTCCAAAGTAGATTCTTAAGAGGTTCAGGCAGAGAAAACGTGGCTTTTACTCATATACATATTTCCTTGATTTGTACAAAAGGACCACATGTTATGATTAATCGGTTACAATAGTCCAATGGACATGCTACAGAATAGGTTTTGGTACTATTCCGGATAAAACTTGGGAATAGTCACCAAATTTGTTGCCGATTGTCCAACGTGTTCCAGAGCTACAATGATTAGTTCCACAAAGGCACATTGTGCACCCCCGGTCCTGATAGTGTTAAAGAAACCAAAAATAGATTATACTTTCATCTCCCCATTTATCAACAGACGAGCAGTAATTAAAATCTATAATTTTCCATCCCCATAAATTCACAGTTCTTGGTCAATACGCTAATACCCGGACCACCATCCGCAGATGCCAGGAGTGCGCAATACTCCACTGGGTTTGGTCCGAGGGCGTGGTGAGCGAGCACGAGATGAGACGCTTTTGGCTTCGGTACTACCGTGGCACCTTCGCCGTAGGCAAGCACCAGCAGGCGGCGTACTTCGAGTGGACCGACACTGAAACCCCGGCTACCCCGGTCAGATTCTACGGCTCCGGCAGCTGGAATTTGAACCAGACTTGGGCTTTTTACCATTCTTGCAACTAAGGCACATGAGGATATAATTTTGCTTGTAACTTCTTTCCCAGGAGGAGTTGGGGTGGGGTGGGGGTGGGGGGGGGGGAGGGGTTCATCTCAGTACGCGTTTGCGCGGGAATGGGACACAATTCGGGCGATTCACAAAACAAATTTTCAAGTTTACGGTCGACAAATATGGCCCATTTGAATGAGTGTCAGTAGACAACTTGAGCTATTATGTTATAGATAGGGGCATAGCGTTCTGCTGCCTTACAAAAAAAAATCACCATATTGATACAAAGAAAAGAAAAGGGCAAACGTATACTCGAATCATACGTTTACGAAACTACTGACCGGAAAAAAAAGAACAATTTCAAATATGCCGCGCTGCAAATATGTCAACCATTTTCGACAATGCACTGGGAAAAATGAACTCTTCTTGGCAAACTATTGGTGGCGCTCTGCATTGTGAATCGCCCGAATTGCATAAGTAAGCAGAGACCTCGCCAGGCAGCCAAAATCACCCAAATTATTGTCGTGATATCCTGGTGCTCTCTCCAGGTTATCAGATGTAGCGCCACGCTGTTTGTTTGGGTCTCACTATTTGCCTGGCTAGCCTCTCCAAAATTTACTAAATGTAATCATCATTTAGTTTGAGGTAAAATTGTATCCCTTTGTACCCGGTTTTGTACGAAGCCCCTAAAGGGACATTACAAATACAAAAAATAAATTCGTAAGCACGAGATAAATCAATCAATTAGTGCGCACGAGATAATTTGTTATATTTTTGAATGTCCCTTTAGGGGCTTGGTTCTTTAGTGGCTCCGCAGTTTTGGGCTTTATGCTCTAAAAATGCAATTCAAACTTAATTACTCATGATTCGAATGAGTTATTGAATGAGTGTTGATTAATTCATTTCAATCTTTTGCAAGGGGAGCGGGATAGGGCTATTACAGTTCAAAAGATACTCCGGGAGCCTCATGCATTTTCGATTCATTAGGACATCCCTTTTTATATCTTTGGTTCTTGTGGGGCGCTGTGGTCCAATGGTTACGGTGTTCGACTCGTGTGCCGTGGTACATGGGTTCGAATCCTGACCGTCGGAACATTGTGTTTGTGTTCTTGAGCAAGGTACTTTACCATTATTGCTTCGTCCTTCGGATGGGACGTAAAACCGTAGGTCCCGTGTGTTGTGTAATGCACGTTACAGAACCCAGTAACACTCATCGCTAAGAGGGGTTTCTGGCAGTGGCTGCAATATGCAAGCGCCGCAGCACCTTGTAAACCATTATAAGGTGCTACATAATGGGTCTCATATTTCTCATCAACTTTATTTACCTTTCTTTAATAATTGACATAATTTCCAGCGCCCTGAGTACCTAATTGTTGGTAGATACGTGCACTATATAAGACTTCGTTATTATTATTAACTGGAGCTGGGTCTGGAACCCCATTTAAGGGATTAGGCCTATACAACATTTGCAAACATAAGTAACAAATTATTATGAATTACCTTACTGGACTGTTAGTAAATGATAGTCTTAAGCATCCTGTAAAATCAAGGAAAGTGGCATTTTTGTATCAATTTATTTCCAACGCTGGTCGGCCGACCAGCGTTGAAAACAAACTGTTTTTGTTTTCAAATACTGCCCCCAATTTACCATATTTAGTGAATCAGCATTTTGTTTGTAATCGATTACACACCTCCGAACGGGTACAAGCCAGCTAGACTGGTTCCCTGACCTAACAATTCCCCAACGCCCATCAATACTTAAGTGAGGTCAGGGAACCAAACTACAGGAACATGATTGTTTTTCTTGGTGTTTTCATCATCTACGAACACAAAATTTCAAACAATTCAGTGTAACAATATTTGCTATAAAATACTGACCCCCAAATCCATCCATTTCTGAAAATTACGGCAAAAGCAAATGTTGTATATTCCCTTAAACAAAAATATAATAGAAATAATTAGAGATAGCGGTTGGAACTGAACAACCACCGAGCTGTTCCCAAAATGTTTTGATTTTCTATAATGAATAGTACAAAATAGTTTTAGAATTATCTAAAAAAACTGTCCCTTCATGCATTTTTAAAATTAAAATTAAAAACTTTAAAATCATAATCGGACTTCCGGTTTTACCGGAAGTAAAGGTCACATGCAATGTCATACCTCATCGTATTCTTGAAATATGGTGGCCACAAAATTGCATTATGACGTCATAAAAAGCAATGACGTCATAACATTAGAACAGTAAACTGCACGGTAATAATAATGTAATACATTTATCTTTGAATGTTGTTGCATGTTCATGTAAAGTATCAACCCGTGGTGTCTGTAGCATACCTTTACTGGTATGTCGCGGCTGCCAACATAACCAAAACGTTAGTGAGAAGCTTGGTGCAGATTCAACGTAATACGGGCGATTCACAATAGTGCGCCTCCAAGAGTTTGCAAGGCGTTGGCCAATCACAATGTGCAAAATCTGTCGACCCAATGCGCGTTTGGAAAAGGTCGACTGATTTCGCGCATTGTGATTGGCCAACGCGTTGCAAACTCTTGGAGGCGCACTATTGTGAATCGCCCGTATTAAGTCATCTTGCCTAAAACGTTTAATTTTATTCATTGATGTCACGTATGAAACAACCATTGCAATAAACAAAACTAGACATTGCACACTTGGAATCATTATTAATGCATTCATCTATACGGGTGCAATTGTAATTTTCCTTCTTCAGATTTAGTTTTTTTTGACCGACCAACCCTACTGTTTCTATTCATTATAAGGGGATGTTTGAGAATTGTAAAAACATGTGTAAAGGAAACCCTTCTTATTGGTGAAAATAATGGTGTCTGGAATATAGAAATTCATCCAAGTCAGAGAAGCAGCAAAAGGAATTTGTGTTTGAAATGCTATTTTCAAGCCTTCCGTCTTTGAGACTTAACGTAGTTTCTGAGCCTCAACGCTATGACGTAGTTTTTCTGCGGTTGTCCATTTTGCAAGCAATAACAAATAGAACGCACATAGTTACGCAAGCACACACGCTTACACAGGCATATAAGTGGGGTACTTCCTTTGTTCTCGTGTACTAATGTCAAAATGCTCTTATTTTAACCAGAATTTTGTCCGACGGTCGATTATGTCCGACCCATTCACGAAACCGAAACCGATTATGTCCGAAACATTCACGCATGGATATGAAACGGTGCGGCACCGTGTACGAGCGGAAACGGCTTCCGGTAATAAACACAGAATCCTCAGCAGCAAACAAGGTTGGTCTAGATAATTACACAACCGTGTATACAATGAACCTTTAGAAAACGATACGCATCGAGAGGGCCGTATAAATGTGAAAGATATTATGCCTTCGATGTTCAAGGCAGTGTTGATAGGATACGCCGTCAGAAGGAATTGAAATATGAAATATTAAATCCAATCACTTGGTGACAATGGAAGGGAAGCCTTAATAGTCATTTGCCCATAGCATGCATCAATACATCCTGGCCGGTACAGATGCAACTTAGCGGAGCGTGGCGATCCGATGTGTGCACTTGGCTCGGTGATTATGATACTGAAACTGCTACCTTTAAGCTCCTTGTCTCAGGGCCTTATTGTCTTTAAATTATATACAAACAGCTAGTAAACAGAGCAAAACAACGAAAGTATTGTGTAGGATGGGGCATTGGGTTCTATGGGAATGTGTCAGTGTTGCTGGGCGCTCTCTGGTGGTAAAAAAAAAGTTGGTACAGACGATGACAGTACCTTGATTACGAGACTTTGCTAAACACGCGCAAAGAACAAAGTCGGATTTTATTCTCTACATTTCTGATGTATGTTATCATTACAATCAAATGTTGGACAGGCAGCAAGTCGTTTTGCCCACCTCATATTCAATACGCAAAGAACATCAACTGATAACTTAAATATTAAACGAGTGCATGTTTTCTATGTGAGATTTCACAAGCATTTCACAAGCATGTACATATTCACAGAGAGTAACAAGCATTTGAATTATAATTGAACAATATTGGTGAGTATGTGCTTCAATGAGATAAAGATTGCTTCCTCTTAGCTTCTTGTTATGGCAGTTTGGTATCAAATGAACATCACACTATTAACATGTGGTCATATTCATGTTGTTTTCTTCTTATCAACACAAATTGACCCTCCACTCTATTTGATCCGGATAGTTATGATAGAAATTAGGGTATTTTGATGTCCTTTACATCCTAGCAATTATGCGTGGCAATGATATAATTGAAAAATGATTGTCCAACACCATACTAATTTACTTTGTTACACATTAATGTATACACGAATTTGCATTTAAATGTTTTCCATATCGAACACAACAAATACAAATTTCAATACAAATGTTACATTACGGCAGCAATACACTATACACCTTATACAAAACTATACACCTAAATTATTGTATGACTATTTGACATTGTGAATTCAATTTCTTATATTTACAGCAAAATACCTCAGTTAATGATATACCTAAACATAATAAGGACCACATATCAACTGTTCATACTCGGCACAAGAAGGAACCGCGAACGCGACTTTGTGACGTCATGCCAAGATTTCCTGCCACGAATTCGCGAAAGATGAACACCTGTCATAACGTCAACGCATTTCGTAGCGAATGCGTCCTGACGTCAAATGAGCTTTGCAATTGCATAGTGTAATGTATGAACCGGCCTTTAATCTAAGAGTTTTATACCAAGAAGAATAGAATTCCTAAGATGGTTTGCCACTAGCCGCTTCGATTGTTTTTGTCTGTGAAGTATCGAGTTTTAACAATTCATAAATTAATTTATGTAGACCACTGTATAGAAACGTTCTACAGGGTATTGAAGATTCACGCATATACTAACAGCGTTATATACAATTTAGATATTCTGTTTAACAAAAGTAGTGCAATAGTTTAGACGTTTCTATTTACACCGGAAATACTTTAAAATACTGCACAATTTACTTTCATTATTCATCAGGTGATTTGTTTATTCCTTTTTGACATGTTTTGAATTTCAGATAATCTTGTATAATGCATTCCACAAACGAAACTTGGAGATAATAGGTTCATTAATTTTAATAAACATTGTGAACATTAACTACCCTAGAATGTATTTTTACCTCGAGATACCTTTTAGTTAAAGACAAAAACCTCATCAGAGTCCGTAGTGATTATTTTAAATCTTCAGTGTATTCTTGCTTTGTGAGAAATATTCCTCCTACCAAACATGGTATTTATTATCAATTTTAATGTTATCTACCGTCGCATTTACTTTTATGTGGAATGAAAATTTGTCAGCGCTGTTGGAAAGAATCAGCTGCTGCTTAAACTGAATTAATCACGGCGACATCCAAGCAGCTCCAATCGCAGAGCAACACCAACATTCCATTCAGTAGGCTCAATGCGCACTACCGTGGCCACCACACTCTCATCAAACAGGCTAGTGACCAGGGTGTTGCCTTCAACGTAACCGATGAACACCTGAAATGAATCCCAACGCAATAAACGCACGTTTGTAACAAAATAGCCTACCTGTAGTAAAGACTAGGACCAAAACTACAACAAAGTATGCATTCTTGACTGGGCTTTTTGGGTTTTTTTCGAGCTTTACAGCATTTTGCTTTTTTTGGGGGGGGGTGAACTAAAAGCTTTTTTCTTTTAAATAACCCCTCTATAAGAGAATGTAGCATCAATCTTTTCTGAGGTTGCTTTTTTGGTTGCTACTACGTATCAACAAAGAAAGTCCTGCTTTTGATCCTAAAAACCATAAACCTCACCCTATTGCACAAAGCTAATTAAACTTGCTCCATACAATTTCTCATTTCTTGTTTACATGATCTGAAATTATTGTTGGTTCCATTCACGTTTTTAATTCCAGACACGATTTCAGAGTGGCTCATTGCTTGCATAAGCATGGAACCACACAAAGTCGTACAGAATGAAGTTGTCATACTGCAATAAAGCCCAAACAAAATATGAGAAAAATACCTTTTCATTTTCTTTTCAAAACTGTTTTTGTACAGAAGTTAAATTTAGCTTACAGCAAGACTTAGTAAAGATTGATGTTTACCTTGATGTCTCCGTTTCCATTAACGTGTTCATAGTCAGATGAGGGCTGTTTCTTGTACGCCACCATGTACTTTTTCACATACAAAGTGTCCCTGTAGCCTTGTGTGATGACCCCGCTCACCACTGTAGACTCAACGAGGTCCACCTCGATCCAGGGATTGGCATCGTCACTGTACACAGAGTAAAGAGAGGATGAGGAAAAATGAAATAACAATAATCCGCAAATCTGCTTGTGGAATGGATTTGAAAATTGAACACAATCATTGAAACTCGTTACAGTGTGCAATTCAAATGCGCATCCGGGTAGGGCTTTGGACGGGAATGTTATTTTTATATAATGAAAAGGAGAACCAAAAAGGAAAAACAATGCCAAAAAAACCCAAAAAAAACACTGATGCGATTACATGTGGATGTTGATTAATGAAACACACTCAGGAGCGTTTTGTGACATTATATGTCACAAAACATATGAGTGAAAACTAATATTGATGTAAAAGCGCTTTGATATTGGTTAAAAGTGTATGTAAGAACCCGTTATATAAAGATATGAGAGTGAAGTGTCAGGTGTGGTATGTCCCTTTGATACCTACCTCTCGGCTATCCATCCGTTGTCATGGTTGAGGCGTGCCTCACTGGCAGAACAACAGTAGTAACTACTGGACGCCGTGATTCGTTCATCTTGGATTGTCCCGTCCTCCATACCAAGGGGTTGCGGGCTTGAACGCTCAGCTGGTAACAAACGAGTAAAGCAAACGAAACTGATTCTAATTAAAATAATAAAACATGGAAACATTGTGTGAAAGCTAATCTGATTCTGAACTATAATTTGGGGCAGAAGACCTGATGACACTTTTTATCTTATAAACCTCAATGATGAGTAACTGAAGATTTACGAATTCACGAACATTTTCATTCCAATGTATTAATGAAAATGCAAAACTTATTTCCCTTGTTTTCTAGTACTGATGTGAAAACGCGATTCCATGATGCTTTCCAAACATTCTTCTAACCTGGATTATTCTCTGCAGGCTGACAGTCGAAGTAAGCTTGAATTTCGTCGGAATCCTCGCTCAGGAAAAGCTCGTTCAGGTAGTGGGGCGCCCCCTGGCGGTATGACGAAGCAGGGATGCGCATTCCGCCCAGGCGTATAGCAGTGCATTCGCACGGATCTTCGCACGGTAAGAACCAACGGGGTGGCATACCAGAATGTGGGTTGTACTCCGATCCGATGAAGCAGACTTGATGACACGAGATCGTCACTATAATGTACGTTTGCATGGAAAAAAATACACTAGTATTTGCCTTTTTTCATAGATCGGAGACAGTAGGAATGCGCTATATTTTATCATAATAAAAAGTTTGGGGCACAAACGTGCAAAAGATCAATGTGTGTGAGACAGCTCCAGAGCTTGCCCAATTGACCTTGCGATTTGCATACCACATGCAACACGCTGGCCACGTGAACTCACCACACAACCGACCACTGCAAGAAATTTTGTTTGGTTGTTTGTATCGAATGTTTGAAAGAGAACTTCATTCTCTTTACAAAACCACTACCCCCAGTGTGCTCTGACATCGGGTTCTCGAGATACGTTGAGATAAACAACCAAAGGTCTCACACAAATGGTCATTTCTGTTCCGCTCCAAGGCAATTGCCTCATACCCCACATTTCCAAGCCAGACATAGATAGACGTAAAGCCAAAAGAATGAATTTTCATAATCTGCAACCCCCAGATTTGTGCGACCGATCTTTCTGGTAATTTCCCCACGTTAAAGTTTGTGTGGACATTTCCGGTTGAGCAGATGCGCGCTACTTTTCATTAAGTTGGGTAAATTTTAGTAAATACAACAGACTAAAACAAAACCCAAAAAGCACATTTATATTGTATCGCCATGAACGCTCACGAGAAAGATAAAATTAGCTCCCCACTCATGAAACCAATATTGCCTTCTTACTCTCCAACATATGTGGCCTCACGCAGAAAACACTACTGAATCACCCATTAGTAATTGTGCCGCACAGGTATTAACACGGCCAAAGATTGAGGGGGTTGACTGACAAATGGGGGCGCTACTCAAGAAGCTCGGCAGTAGACTCCTTTTTTTTCCATACAACACATTATTCGCTATAGTTGCATAACAATGCAAATTGCGTTTCTTTAAAACAAAACCCTCCAACCCATAGATAAGCAAAGGTATAATGTTTCAATTGACAAACAAACAAACACAATTTCAGGGAAACAGGAATTAAAGAACAAATGCAAGGTCACACTTAGTGGGACTCGAACCCATGACTTACGGATGGGGACTATTGTCTGTTTAACTGAAATGTCATCCTTGGTGGGCGTCTCTGTGACCCTCGATAAAAATACTACGCGTTAAAATTCCAGATTTGCAGTTACTTTTTTTTTAATATAAGAAAGGCATCCCCGAAAAGGCTTTGTAAATTGCAACTAGCATACCAATTTGTGATAATTGATCAAAGCGCCTGACCTGAATGAGTTATACGGCCAAAAATGTACCTCTCAATTCCCTTCCGATAATCTAAGATACGTGCAGACTAGTGCCATATTAATACGTACTCACAGCCTTAAGTCGATGTATATACCTTCAATTTTGATGATCACTTGATGGAAGTTTTTAATGAAATTTTAAAATATTTGATTTACTTCAAAGATTTGAAGAAAAAAATAAACCTGACCATTTATCGTTGGCCCAGTCGGATGCTTATAGCATGGCACCAGCAATCTGCTCAGACAAACTCAGTAATCGAAATCTTTACAACATTCTAACATTTCCCGTTCTTGTGGAAGTGATGCGAAATAAAACTAGCGGCGCACAGCGAAAGAGACCTAGGGACCGTAATATCGGAAATGAAAGGTCGTAAATGAAATTCTTTCAAATGATTTTGTTTTTGCAAATTTACTCGAAGAGTACCCACGCATATAAAATTCAAAAATAATTTTTCATGGCGTCGTTACAATTTGAAATCATTTTCCCCAAAATTATACGATAGAAGGCAAAATTGCAACACAATGAAAACTACTCACAGATGAGCCGCGAGACCTTTCAGTTTCAGACTCTATATACATATGTCACCGATACACGGCAAGTACCTCCTCAGTAGTGACGTCTGGTGGTAAACCCATTCTTCACTAGATTTGACCCAAAAAATACTTTGGTCTGCCTCGGACGACCAGGTTTGCATAAAACAATAGTAATCTTTCAAAATATTCTCCAAAATAGCGTTTTGGAGCCTTTGAAAAGAAAAAAATGTTCGTAGACATCATATAATTGCATCAGGCGCGGGCCATATGTGAAATCTTTTATAACCCGAACCTGAGAGAATTCACAGACTAAAATGTATAGTCACGTGACCAAGTCAATTGCTAGGAATCAAATGTGTTCGCCTTTTTTTTGACAAAACTGTCTTGTTTTTGGGTAGGCTAATTTAAGACTTCTTAAGTTAAAAGAAATCCAGACCATAGGCCTATGATATTACCTTACGAATCGTATTTGTGCAGATTTTTAACAAAATCTCTAGAAGACGGTTTACCCCCACAAATAGGTAGGCCTATAACGTCCTCTTACGATTACTTTATACTACCAAAATGTTGACTAAAAACCTTGTGAATGTATTTACACAAATTGTGAATGTATTTACACAAAACTGAAGTGACATTCCCTCTTGAGGTCATGTGAGGTCATATTGTCAAAAATTGGCCAACCAACACAACTGATAATATCAGGACAATCGGCCGACGTTCAAATTCAATGTAGAACGACTATTGCAGCTTTGGGGTTTTATGTTGGAAAATAAATAGAGGGATGCACATGTATGTCCCCGATCCTGATCTAGCTAAGCTTATCTGCTATTGCCAACAAACCAGTCAGGAATTTGAGGACGTACCTCCCCAGATAGATATTAAATCTTACCTGCCATTGCTGACAGCATCACAACCAAAGCTGCTGCTACGTCCATTGTCCAAGATGCAGTGAATTCTGGGTGCAATCGCACTACGATGTATCACGACTCATGCACACACCAACGCGAATTAAAAGACTACGCATTAAACCACTGAACAACACTTGGGTAACAGCCTCAACTCGAAACTTGCCCAAAACTTTGTCTGATTAGTGCAAGGATTGGCAATCCGTTAAATTGTTTGTATTCATCAGATACTCACACACCACAACGATGAGGAATGCGTCTAAAACGGTACCGTGTATGACGCTATGATCCAGAGTCTGTTATGTTGATCGTATATCACCGAGTATACAAACCAAGGCACAGCTCGCACCAGCAACAACGCAGCCGTGTACCACGGAACAGGCTTACGTCATAGGAAGCCTAGCCAATTATGAACTAGCCTGGAACGTTTAAAATGAAACGTGAAATATTGCAATAAAGAAGTTTTATCTTTGATATTAACGTGATCATATGATATTGATGGGGACGTTAGAAGGCCTTGAAAAGGCGACTAATTAAAAAGCATTATGCCCTGTAGCCAACAAGCTTGCTCAATTAACGAACCTTCACTAATGAGTTTTTGGAAAAAGGTGAAGCGAGAGCGCAGACATTGTAATTAAGACGTTTTGTCCGTGATATTAACGTGATCGTAGAATAATGATGGGGAAGTTAGAAGACCTTCAAATGGCGACATATTAAAACGCATAATGCCCTGTAGCCAACAAGCGTGCTTCAATTAACGAACCTTCATAATTAACCACAAATGAAATTTCGGAAAAAGGGGAAGCGAGAGCGCAGATATTGTAATTAAGAATTTTTGTCCTTGCAATTCATAGTGTTTACATAAATAATAATTCGAAGGCATCATCAGCAGGCTATCAAAAAAGCAAAATATTAAAACCAATTTACTCGCGCAGTATGGACAAAGGGCCTTCCCATATTTTTTTTTATTCATTTAAACTTCTTAGCCTATGATAGAGATGTTTACATTTGAGAGGTTATAAGAATTAAAACAAATCGAAAAGTGAAAATACATTGTAATTGAAGTGTGGCATTATATATCCTTCGACAACTATTCACAAGAAAAGAACAGAAAATGTAATGTTCTCTTATGCATAACAGAGGTCTCTATGGAACAGTGGCATTATATAAGCGCCTAGTATTGAAATATTTCAATATTTTCGGTTGATGTCAAGCATGGGCGTAAATCCTGCAGGTCAAGGGGAAGGACATATCGCCCACACATCACGACAAGGGGTTAGTTTTGAGGTGGTGTACGTGTTCTACGGGTGGGCGTGTGGGTTTACATTTTACACATTGTGGACCTTGAACAATAGAAGACAATAGGGTCAACGATTGACCGAAGGTCCACTTTTGATTTGCGTGTACAAAACACATGAGATGTCTTCCAAAAAGAACTGGCCAGGATGAGTACAGAAACGTTATGGGCCAATGCATGCAGGAAACGACCAAAATCCGTCGGGAATTGGCTGACTCATATAGTGAGGTTAATAATAGTAATGTGGCTGTTTTTTTCTTAATAGTGTTAGAAAATAATGAAGTAGAAAATTGCAACGAGTTATAATTGGCTATGGTTGCACTACTTTGATTAACTGAAATATATTGTATTCAGTATAATTGAAAGATTTTCCACCAGAAAGCGGTAAAAAAACAAATTGGAATTTCTAAGCGTTGTACCCAAAAGTTTTTTTTGTGGTGGTGGTGGGGAGGGGAATCCCCTGGCCATGGTTTCCCAGAATTGGCGGGATATTGTATTGCCTTCCATATACTTGTGTACAAAACATAGGAATGATCACGGTATAGTGCATCTTATAGGGATTACACCGTTGATACTAGAATTGGCAATGCGTTATTACTTAACTAATTGCGCATGAAGGTTACTGCTGCCTGCCTGCTGTCAATTAATCAGTCTGCCGACATGGTTGACCTTACATTATTATAATTAACGGCCATGTAAAAGAAATTACTATATGAAGTCAAAGCACTGTCTGTAATATTACATCAGTATATGACGGAAATGACGGAATGACGGAAACATTGTACTTTTACCCAATTTCTTTCATAGTATATGCAACATTTACAAATATTACAAAACAAAACTTCCAAATTATTACCAAATATCGTACTTGATTAGTGCTTTCACATCATGGTACTTGCCGTCAGTTTTAAGAAAAAGTAGATTTTTTTTGTAGCAATTGTTAACGGTGGTTGTCCAACCATCACTGGGGAAAAAACTGACTATTTTTTTCAAATACCAACTCCAATTCACCAAAGATAGTTTGTCCA